TTGTGGGATTTTTGCAATATCTTTTATCGTTGATTACTAATTTCATGGCGCTATGGTCCAATAGCATGCAAGGGATAATTTCAACCCTTTTGTATTTATTTAAATATGTTCTGTGAATTAATATATGATCTATTTTAGAGAATAACCCATGTACTGCTGAGAAGAATGTGTATTCTGTTGTTGTTGGGTGGAATACTCTGTATATATCTATTAAGTCCATTTGTTCACAGGTGCAGTTCAGTTCTTTTATTTCTTTATTGATTTTCTTTTTGGTTGATCTGTCCATTGGTGTCAGTGGTGTGTTAAGATCTCCTGTGAGAATTGTATTACTACTGATTTGGTTTTTCATTTCTATTAGTACTTGTTTTATATAACTGGGTGCTCTGGAGTTTGGTGCATATATATTTGAGATAGTTGTATCTTCCTCTTGGAGTTTTCCCCTAACCAGTATGTAGTGACCTTCTTTATCCTTTCTAATCATTATTGGCTTAAAGTTGACTTTGTCTGCAAACAGAATAGCTACCCCAGCTTTTTTTGGGGTTCCTGTTGCATGGAATGTTGTTTTCCATCCTTTGACTTTGAGTCTGTGAATATCCTTTTGAGTTAAGTGGGTTTCTTGTAAACAGCATATGGTTGGATTTTGTTTCTTGATCCATTCTGCCAGTCTGATTCTTTTAATTGGTGTATTGAGACCATTTACATTAATAGTAAGAACTGTTATAAATTGGTTTATTGTTGACATATTATCTTTCTGGTGTTGCATGTTTATCTTTCTGCTCTGTTCAACTGTCTGCTTTGTTTAGTGGTTTTTTCCTAAATGTATCTAGGCTGTCTTTCAGTATTCTTTGCAGGGTTGGCTTGGTGATCATGAAGTTTTTCAGCTGATCTTTGTCATGGAAGTATCGTATTTCTCCATCAAATTTGAAGGACAGTTTTGCAGGGTACATCAGCCTAGGTTGAAAATCATTTTCTTTTAGGATCTGAGATACATCACTCCATGCTCTTCTTGACTTTATTGTTTGTGCTGAGAAGTCTGCTGTAATTCTGATAGGTTTTCCTTTATAGGTGATCTGTCTTTTCTCTCTGACAGCCTTTAATATTCTATTCTTTTGTTCAATTTCTGAGATGGTCATTATTATATGTCTGGGTGTAGATTTATTTTGGTTGTGACCATTTGGAGATCTATATGCTTCATTGATCTTGATATCAGTTTCCAATCTCATGTTTGGGAAATTTTCAGCTATTACTTCTCTAAATATCCTCTTGACATCCTTTATGTTGTCCCCTTCTTTTTCATTTATCCCTATCAGTCTTATGTTGTTTCTCTTTGTGTCATCCTGTAGGTGTTGAATTGTTATTTCCTGATTTCTTGTTATTTTTAAAAGATCTTTTCTTTCCTGTTCACTTGTTGCAATCTTGTCTTCGAGGTCTGAGATTCTATCTTCACATTCATTGAGGCGGTTTTTACAACTTTCAATGGAGTTTTTGATTTCCTGTATATCTCTTTGCATCTGTTTTATGTATTCTGTTTGCTTCCTATACTGTTCATCCAGGGATTCTATCCTTCCGTTTAGTTCCTCTAATTTTTTAACTGCCTCTTCTTTAGCTATGTTTAGCATCTGCTTCATTTCTTTTATCAATTCTTTCATCTGAGAGAATATTTCTAGTTTGAATTCCTTCAGGGCTTCCCATACTTGCTTCTTTATTTCGGTTACCATTATTTCGGGTATTTCAGTCATGTGGCATGTTTTTTTTTCTATGCACATGGCTCCTGGGCTTTCTTGGGATGGGCTGGATGTTTGAGATTGCATTTTAGACTTTTGTTTTGTCATTTTCCTGTATTTGGAAGCTTCAAGTGTTGTTCCAGGTGTGGGAGAGAGATCCACCAGCCTGGGTTGGGGTACCCTGCGATGGCCCCACTCACTGGACCCAGCAGAAAACTATGGCCTGCTCCTCAGGCCAGGAAGAGTGTCTCAGGCTGGGCGGAGCTCCCAGCCCCTGCTGCCACAGCCTCTGATCTGGCCTGGTCCCCGGGTCTGGTAGAGACCTGGCCTGGGTCCCCAGGTCACGGCGAAAGTTCCCACAGGCTGGGCAGAGCTCCCAGCCACTGATGTTACTCTTACCCTTCCAGTCTAGTCTCTGGTCTGGTGGGGAGCCCCTCTGGTCCCCCAAGTCAGGGAGAAAGTTCCTGCAAGCCACCTTATCTTTGACAAAAGTGCCAAACACATTCACTGGAAGAAAGCCACTTTAATAAATGGTGCTGGAAGAACTGGCTCTACACATACCGAAGATTAAAACTGGACCTGTATCTTTTACCATGTACTAAGCTAAAATCAGAATGGATCAAAGATTTTAATAGTAAATCAGAAACATTACATCTGCTGGAAGATAGAATAGGTAAAATTCTTGAAGACATTGGTGTAGGTAAAGACTATGTACTGAAATGCTTTTGCACAGCAAGAAAAACCACCAACAGAGTAGAGAAAACCCACAACATGGGAGAAAATGTTTGCCAGTTTTCCTCTGGCAAAAGATTACTATCAAGAGCATATAAAAAACTCAAAAAAAATCAGTCCTCCCAGATTTAAAGACCCAATCCAAAAATGGGCATCTGAGATGAATACATACTTCTCAGATGAAAAACGAACAATAAATAAATACATGAAAAAATGCTCAACATCAGTGGTCATTCAAATGTTTCAAATTAAAACAACACTGAGATTCTACCTAATCCCAGAAAGAATGGCTACTATCAAGAAATTAAGGAATAACAAATGCTGGAGGAGCTGTGGAGGAAAAGGAACCCTTCTCCACTGTTGGTGGGAATGCAGACTGGCAACCACCGTGGAAATTCCTTAGAAAACTAGGACTACAACTTCCATTCAACTCAGCTATTCCCCTTCTGGATATCATTCCAAAGGAATTAAAAACATCACCACAGCGATATATGTGCATTTGTGTCTATAGCAGCACAATTTGTAATAGCCATACCTTGGAAATGCCCATCAACTGAGTAATGGATAAAAAAGATGTGGTATTTTTTCTACAATGGAGTACTACTCAGCCATAAATAAGAACAGACTGGTTAATTTTATATGTAAGTGGATGCAACCTGAGAACATATTCATTAATGAAATAAATAAGACATAAATACTGTATTTCATTAGTATGAGAAGCTGAAAGAAACAACATGTTTGTATGTATATGTATATAAAAGAAATAGTTAAAATCGTTATACTACTGATTTTTCTGAGTTCACTAAAGAGAAAGATTTGTGCTGGTATTGTTCAGACAATTGAATGCAGATGTCTTATGCTCTGGGTGAATGATGTTTGGGGATGACAGTACGCAATGTATGTACCATGGTTGTTCCTTGATTGACATGTTTGAAATTTTGTGTAGTTTTTTTTTTCTTCTTTTTCTTTTTTTTCTTTTTATTCTTGAAATAAAATGTATTTGGGAAAAAATATGTAAAATAAACAACATAAAGACCAACAAAACCTAAAATAGATTCTTGAAAAGATCAACAAAATTGACAAACCTTTAGGCCAAGAGAGAGAATTCAAAGTAATGAAATGTGGAATGAAAGAAGGGGTGTCACTATCCAGCTTGTGGAAATCAGGAGGTGGCAGGAAAGACCACAAATAACTGCACACCAACTAATTAGACATAAAGCCACAGAAAGGCCCAGATCTCTAAGACAGGATGCAGACGAAAGAAAAAAGATGCAGAAGAAAGAGATGGAAATAGTCCTTTAAAAACACAAAGAATTCCCAGGTTCAGTGGACTTCAGTGGATTTCTCCAAACATTCAAAAAAGTGATAAGTCTTTGCAAAGTTCCCAAACATGCAAGAGAGGGAGATGTTGTTCAATAGGAGATATTGTCCCAATTTATTCTGAGAGGCCAGCATTACCCTGATGCTAAAATGCAAAATTATAAGAAAACTGCTGGTCAGTAGCTCTGTTGAATAGACATGTACTCTCAGCAAAACAGCAAGCCAACTCAAGCCAACTCCAATAACACTAAGAAAAGTCAGATACCATGATCTGGTTATTATCCCAGGAAAGAGAAGTCCATTTAGCACTCCAAATTGCTTAATGTATGTACTATATTAAGATAATAAAATATAAAAACCATTAATCTATATCATTAATATATACTAATAAAGATGTAGAAGAAAATTTAAAAGGACTGGGTGTAGCTCAGTGTTACAGTCCTTGCCTAGTGTGCTTGAGGCCCTCGGTTTAATCCCCAGTAATGTAATTATAGACATAATAATAATAATAATAATAATAACACTTATATGTACTTTTTCTTAGTGGTTTCAGCACTTACACTCCCTGCTCTGATGAAAACATACTGTTATTAATAGAAAAAAGGTTTGGGCAGTAATCTTTGGGGAATCCTTCAAATATATGTTGGGGAAATTAAATAAGGACTAAAATGAGAAATCAAAGCTGTATTGATTATCTCATAATTTAAAGTAAAAAGAATGGGAAATAAGTTATATACATTTTACTTTATGCATTTTAGTTAAAATAAATAGCTATATAATATGGACAATGTAACAAAGTTTATAATGATGTTTAACTTTTATAAAACAAAGTATCTTTACCCTCACACTGAGATATTTCTGAATCAAAACCCCTGATATTTTTGTCCCACTCAAAAACTAAATGTCTTATAAGACAAGACAAGTTAAATTTAAAAGACCCTCATAATTTCTAGATTCTAAGATTCCATTTTTCTAGCACTTTGTTCAGTGTGTTACCCAAAATGAGCCCTAAAAAAAAAAGCAAACTATAACAAAATAAACCACACTGTCTTAGTCCTTTTAACTTAATCTTCTAACTCACCATTTTGCTTCACAATGACACTTATGCACTTGCTAATAAAAAATGTTTTTAACTACTACTTTGGAACCAAATATTAAATTCTTTGACTACTTTGCAACAGGGGTTTCACATTTCTCTCCACTGCTTTTTTAATGTCTTAACAGATGGAAGTATTCTACTTCTACTACCAATTCCCCTTTGCACTGGGGATTAGTTGGTGTTTACCAAAATGGGGGATATATTTTCACCTTATCAAAATCAAAATCTGAAACCAAAAGCAAGTTCGTTGACCTTCAATTAAACAACTGGATCACAAGAGGGACCAGGGTTATTTTTATTGATTTTTCATTATACAATGCTAACGTAAACCTGTTTTGCATCATTAGGTAAGTGACTGAAAACTTCTGTGTTAATATGTGAAATTTAAAAACCATGCAGAGGCCTCACTGAGGTTTTCAATTTGTGCATAGCTGTGCTGATATTAAATCATAAGCTGTAAAATAAATATAATGTTCTTAAGATAAATATTATGTAGTTCTACCAGAAACAAGGGCTGGGGATGGAGCTCAATAGTTGCCTGCCATACACAGGTCCTGGGTTCAATTTCCAGTACCACAGACAATGGTGATGATGATGAAAAAGAAAGTAAAGCACCACCACATTCATTGTCTAGTTAACTCAGAATATATTTAGGAACATAGAGAATTACAATGTTAATTTTATATTGCTTAGTCTTTTTTTATGGTACATGGGGATTGAACCCAGGCCTGTACCCCCAGCACTTCTTTAATTTTTATTTTGAAACAGCATTTTGCTAAGTTGCCATCCATGCTGGGCCCAAGCTTGTGATCCTCCTGCTTCAACCTCCCAGAGTGCTCGGATTACAGATGTGCTGTTCTCCATCTAACAGTTCTGTTTGTCACTGGGGCTTTGTGTGGGGTTTTTTTTTCAGTACCAATAAATACTTATTTATTTATCTATTTATTTTTTGAGATAGGGTTTTACTATGTAGTGCAGGCTGGCCTTGAACTCTAGGCACTCTTCTAGTCTCAGCCTCCCGAGTGCTGGGATTACAGGTGTGAAACATCTTGCTCAACTTCCAGTAATAATAAATATCTAGGAATAACTGCATTGTAGTATTGTAATAAGACATGCTAGTTCCTTAAATTACTACAAATTCTTAAATATCTCACATTATGAGAACATTAGAAGTAATAGTGAATAGGGGCTGGGGATTTAGCTCAGTGGCATAAGTACCTGTGTTACAAGCAGGCGGTCGTGAGTTCAATCCCTGGTGCTGATAAAAAAAAAAAAAAGAATTAATAGTGAACAATTTTAAAATCTTTTTATATTTATTTTTATTTATTATTTTTTTTTTGGTCTTTTTCCTTTTTATCGGTACCAGGGATCGAACCCATGACTGCCTGCTTGCAAGGCAGGCGCTTATGCCTCTGAGCTAAATCCCCAGCCCCAATCTTTTTATATTTAGTGATAGAATTAATTTTTATACTTCTTGCCAGACTACATGACACACATCTGTAATCCCAGCACTCGGGAGGCTGAGGTAAGGAGGACCAGTGTGAAATTGAAGAAGCCTGGGCTATAGTCCAAGACCACCCTGGACTATATAGTGAGAACCTGTCTCAAAAAAATGTATACTTCTATTTGCATACATCATTGTATCTAACATCTCATGCCTATAATAAACAAAATATTTTACTAGACTATGGGAGCCTTGATATATAGAAGCAAGACATATCGCTGGTAAACTAATGGTAGAGAGTGTATTTCTTGCTTTTTAAATATTCAAGAATTACATTTTGGGGGTTTTTTATGAAGTACATATTTTGATAGGTTTGTTTGTTTGGTTTTGGTACTGGGGACTGAACTCATAGGCACTTATGATGCTGCACTAAATCCCCAGCAGAATTACGTATTTTGAAGATAGTCCAAACTAATAACAACTAGTATAGAATAGCATTTTCCTGAACAATACCTCATTCTCCTATGAAGATAAATTAGTATTCCCATTTCTGAATGAGTAGTCTGTACAGAAAATAGAATGAATATCTGGCTGACACACATCTTTCTCATTTATGTTGCTCTAGCCTCTGAATAGTCAAGGTATAGAAAAAGTGAAGCCAATAAAAAAATAAGCACATCTAGGGGCTGGAGATTTAGCTCTGCAGCATATGCATCTGCCTGGCAAGCATGAGGCTGTGAGTTCAATCCTCAGTACAAAAAAAAAAAAAAAGCCCGAAAAGAAATAAGCACATCTACCTGAAGATTATTAAATTGAACCTGTGACCCAAGGAAACATATTTTGTATAAAATAAAATAAATTATTCTTTTTGGTTTTCATTACTTTTTTCTATAAAATTATCATTAAAATATACATTGTCATTAATTAGAAATTTCACATTGAATTAAGTACTAAACTAATTCAAAGATATTATCACAAACCTAATTTTACAGATTGGTAGCAGAATTTCCTGCAACTGGAGGAATACTTACATCATGGCAGTTTTATTCTCTGAAACTCCTCAGATATGTTAGTTACTATGATTACTTTATTGCCTCCTGTGAAATCACATTTTGTATTTTCCTTGTTGTCTTCACAACACAAGAACTCAAAAAAATAAAAGAATTTAAATTCACCTATTTCAAAAGTATTTGGAACTGGTTAGAAGTACTACTTTTGCTGGTGAGTATACATTCATGTGTATGGTTGAAGGGGATCACATCTGAACCCACCAAAGAAGGAAGCATACAAATTTTCTATTCAGCCTGCACTTATTAGAAAAGCTACAAGTATTAAACCTTATACCACATATTAACAATGTGATGATAAAATGGAGAAATCTGTTTTTTTCTGATTGGATCCTTGGGAAAGCCCAGCAGAAATCTAGAGGAATATATGATTCTATAAATATGACTTCATATATACATTAGGTCTCCTTACCCGCACTCAGGGAAAGGTATTCCTGTCAGACTTAGCAGTGAGTACTTATAGGTCCAGCCACTTTGGAAGCCTGGGACAGGAAGATTGCTTGAATCCAGGACTGGGCAACAGAGAAAGAGATGGAGATGGGTTGAGGTGAGTGAGGATGGAGCGATGGCAGAGGTAGGGAGGTAGAGAGAGAGAGGAAGAATGAGAAAATAACAAGAATGAAAAAAATGTATTCCTCACAGGGTGATACATTTCACCAATCATGAATCTTTCTGAGCAAATTTCTTTCAAATGTACTCTTTAGTGTTGCCTAAACATTCATTACTTCTCACACCAGTGGGGAAACAGGCAAAAAACAAACCTAAGCAAAAACTAAAGTTGGGGAGACGGCTTGAGCAACCAGAGAGCACCTTGAGAGAACAGGGCACCAGAATCAGGGAAGTTATCCTTGAAAGAAACACCGAAGATGGCCAGTTTTAGGCACTGGAATGTCTAAGATAAACATGGAGATGTAGCCAGGCCAAGCTAAATGTTGTAAGTTTGGTCTTAGATACAGTAAAGGAACAAATATTTCTGGCTTCTACAATTTGATCTTTCACTTTCACTGACCCTTAGCTATAGCTAACCCAGTGCCATCTCCATTATCCCCAGTAATGCCTAGCAAAGGGCATAGCATCAGATGTTTGAGTGTCGGTTGTAAGCAAATATGATGGTTATGAAACTCTGATATCTAAAATAACCTGGGCCTCAAATCCTTTTTAAAAAGACATTTGTAAAAGGATTTATTTTTGGTAATTTTTTTCTTATAGAGTTAACATGGTAGAAAATATTAAACTTTTTGTTTGTTTGTTTGTTTTTAAGATAGGGTCTCATGCAATTCAGGCTGGCCTTGAGCTCACTTAGTAGCCCAGGTTGGACTAGAATTTACAATGATCCTCCTGCTTCAACTTCCTGAGAACTGGGATTATCGTTGTATGCCTCCACACTGGCAAATTAAACTTTTAAATATATAGAGCAAAAATCCTTACATCCTAGGCAGGATGACACAAACATTTTATATTTTCACTTTATGACTCAAGGAGGCAAGTAGGTGGTTTAGGAGGCCACCTTTGTGGGAATTTTTACTTCAAGCTTCTGTAAATTGAGGGTTATTTCCATTTATATCAAAAATATTGTCCTAAAAAAAACTCTCACCAGGGATTTAGCTCAGCAGCTTAAGTGTCTGCCTGGCAAGCACAAAGTTGTGAGTTTGATCCCCGGTACTCCCCCCCCCAAATATATATGTCCTATCTTTTCCTCCCTGTTTATGAAACTTTTAATGAACATTTTCATGTGTTTATTTACAGGCTGCAAAAGATTTCAGAGTAGAAATAGTTTCTTTTTTTTTTTTTTTTTGTCTTTTTCCTTTTTATCGGTACCAGGGATCGAACTCATGACTGCCTGCTTACAAGGCAGGTGCTTATGCCGCTAAGCTAAATCCCCAGCCCCAGAGTAGAAATGGTTTCTAATTTAACTTTTCTTATTTTCCCATTTAGTTGTGTTTTGTAACCGTTTTCTTCTACGCATATTGCAATTTACAAAATTTTCTCCTACTTGGACAGCTGTTAAAAAGTACTGAAAAATATTCAGACTTCTATTTTCTTGCATACTGGCACATTTATTACAACAATATAATTGCTATTACTATCTTCTTTGCATGGATAAAGGTATTTATATCTTATTATGTCACATGTTACAATAGCCTTCAAGTATAATAGGAATTTAAACTATAAAGCTATGGTTAAATAAATTTCTTACCTATTGAGTAATTTTAAAAGTAGTTTGGTTTTGTACTAATTGCTGATATATCTTCAAACATCCTTAATTATCATTAGATTCCTCCTATAATTTTTTTTTTTTGTATCAGGAATTGAACTCAGGACTTTGTGCTTGCCAGAAAGGCACTGTGCCACTGAGCTATATTCCTGGCCTCTTCCTTTAATTTGAAGTAGAATTTTCCTGAATTTAACTTACTGTAAGGAATTATAATCTTTGATATAAGTAATTATAATCTATGACATTCTATTTCATTGAAATTTGTTCTTTTTCAGATATTCAAATTTATAAGCTTCAATAAGACAATGTCTCAGTTGTCATCAACCTTGTCCCGCTGTATCAAAGACATAGTAGGATTTGCCATCATGTTTTTTATAATATTCTTTGCTTATGCCCAGTTAGGATTTCTTGTTTTTGGATCACAAGTTGATGACTTTTCTACTTTTCAAAATGCCATGTAAGCTATTAGTATAAGTAATTAGTATAATCATATTTTCTATATTGTATGTTTTCTAACAAAAAATCATGAAAGAGCTACAATAAGAGGTAATATAAGTTTTAATTAAGCTTGGCTCTGAATTTTTATTGAAGACAAAATATCTGCCATACTCAAAGTAAGATTTGGCACTGCCTGATCCAAATGGATGGTGGTAGCCCCCTACCCTGCACTTTGTTACTGAGGATTGAGCCCAGGGTCTGGCACTGAGCTACATCCCCAGCCCCAGGCTCCCAGAGTTCTGGGATTATAGGTGTGCACCAGTACACCTGGTTACTGATACCCATTTTTTAAAGTGATACTAGATCAAGTTAGAAAAAAATGCTTTTTCATTTTTCCTTTTGGGTTTAGCTTGTTTTTTTTAAAGAAATGTTTTTGCAATGAAACCTTTTAATGTCTTTCTTTTTTTTTTTTTTTTAAACTGTACTGTGAGTGAGCATAGGACCTTTCCACTAGCTACATTCCTTGCTCTTTAGTTTTTTGTTTTGAGACAAGTGGGGCTAGAATTTTGATTCTTCTGTCTCAGCCTCCCAAACTGCTGGGATTATAAGAGTAAACCTCTATGCCTTATTTCATTTCAATATATTCTATAATTTTTTGTGGTTACAAAGATATTACATATAACATCCTAAAGTTATATAATACTCTAATTTGAATTTACACCAGCTTGAATTCTATACAAAAACCCTGCTTATATAGCTCCACCCTTTTATTGTTGTCACAAAAATTTATCATTGTGTACTGTGTCCAAAAACAAACTAGTATTTTTAAGGTACTAGCCTTTTAAAATTATGTAGAAAACAAAATGTAGATTATAAATCAATGTGAGGATACTGAAATTATTTTTCTGAAAACATTAGTCTCTTAAATAATGTAGAAAACAAAAGGTGGAATTATACATTGGCACTACAATGATAGCTTTTTAAAATGCCCACTTATTTACCTTATTGAGAATCTGTATTTTTTTCATATGTTTTTGCATTGCTTTCATTTCCATCTGTAAGACTAGAACAGGTCTAGTGGTGATAAACTCTCAGATTTTGATTATCTGGGAAGACTTTTCCCCTCATTTGAAGGACAGTTTTGCTGGATATTGAATTCTTGGTTGACATCCTGCATGGTGGAGTTGTAATCCCAGCACTGGGGAGGCTGGGACAGCAGGAACACTGGAATGTCAAGGTTAGCCTGAATTACACAGCAAGACCCTGCTCAAAAAAAAAAAAGTATTGGTTGAGATTTTTGTTTTGAGTTTTGTTTTGCTTTCCCATTTAGCTCTTTGACTATTCTGACCTCCAAAGTTTCTGATGAAAAGTATGTGCAGAAAGTTACCAAGAGTATCAAGAAATTACCCTATTAATCCTGTGTCACAAAGCATTGTGTGTTCCTTTAAGCTTACAAAAAATTTTTTAAAAATTAAAGCCAAAAAATGAATAAACTAAGCTCCAGCTAAGAGAAGAAAGGCACACTTGGATTCTCTAGTTACCTTGTGATAATAGCCATCCAATGAGCGCTTAGGTTTTTTACTGTTCTCACTATTTACAACATAGGTATCTGAATACTTTCCTGACAGGAAAGAAAAGAGCTGAATGGCTCCTGTAGTTACTGAGCTAGTTTCTAGAGAAAAGAATTGAGAAGTAATATTGTTGACTTATTGTTTCTTATATAAATACAACTTTAGGATAATAACAACAACAAAGTCAAGCTAGAAAACATTGAAAGAGAACCTCGTGGGGGCTGGGGATTTAGCTCAGCGGCATAAGCGCCTGCCTTACAAGCAGGCAGTCGTGAGTCCCATCCCCGGTACTGATAAAAAGGAAAAAGACCAAAAAAAAAAAAAAAAAAAAAAAAAAAGAGAACCTCTTATTCTCCTGTACAAGAAAGGAAAAAAACAATGTTTGTTGTGTGAAGAACTTTTCATCTCCTTCTATTCAGCATTCTATCTTATGCAGAAAAACATTATAAGCCAGTATTAAAAGCAAGATGAATACTTAATTGTGGTTTCATTATATCTAGGCACTAGGAATAAAATCCCAGACAAATAGGGTTCGGGATTTAGCTCAGTGGCATAAGTGCCTGCCTGACGAGCATGAGGTCGTGAGTTTGATTTTTGGTAAAAAACAAAACAAAACAAAAAAAAAAAAAAAAAAAACTGGGACAACTCTGGAATCCTAGGACTCAAATTAGCCTATTTCTGTGAGTCAGTATGTCCTTCAGGGTAGCTGCCTTCTGTTGTCTTTTATGTTATTGGCAAAAGTAACAAAGGACAAAAGATCTTCCTTATGACTGAACAGTCAGACTGATACTGCAGAATGTACTATTAAAAATTTCTTCCCGGATTTGCCCTTAAAGAACATAGTATGAATATACAGACGTACTGATATCCTTGGTTTATTTGGCAGAGCCATTGCAAATTAATGAAAAATAAGATTTCAGGTTAGGAAAACCTAAGTCTGTTTCTGCTACTATTCTGCTACTTAATGCCTTAATATAATATCTTTATTTTCATAGAAATTTGTAATGTTTTAAATGGTATTTAATATCAAAACCATTCCAGTTATTAAAGAGGGCAAAATAAAATGCAGGCCCATGGTGAGAATCATTACCAGCACTTAAGACTAGTCAGTGGCAAACTGCTAAGATGTTGAGACAGTTAAGATGAAAACTAAACAGATATCAACATTTAAAAGTTTAGGGCTCTTGAGTCTAGGTATAAGTTGAAAAATCACTTCTTAGACAAAATCGAATTTTTTAAGTTTTAAAATAGCACTGGAATGACCAAGGAATGCAACTCCAAAAACAGCTTGAAAATAGATATCACAAGGTTCAAGTCTAATAGGTGAACACTAAATTCACATTGGTTAAATAAACTGAAGCCTGTCGTCTCCTAAACTACCTGTTTAACTATTGTGATATCTCAAGCATCTCTATTTTCACCTTTACAAAACTCTGGGGACCAGGGATACAGCTCAGTAGCACAGCACCTGCCTGGCAAGCCCAAGGTCCTGAGTTTCATTCCCTTAGTAACAATAACAAAACAAACTCTGAAGTAACATATTTTCAGCTAGAAAGTATGTGCCATGTCTAACTAGACACTTTCTTGGAGATAATAGTAACCCTCTACAGTTGTCATAAATGTGCATGAAAGGATTTAGTATTTATTAATGTGTTTTTTTCTCATCAAAGATTTGCACAGTTTCGAATTGTTCTTGGAGATTTTAATTTTGCTGGTATTCAGCAAGCCAGTTGGATCTTGGGACCCATTTACTTCATCACTTTCATCTTTTTTGTGTTCTTTGTCTTGCTGGTAAGAATGACCATGTATTATTTTCCCCTTTTTTGATTACATTTTTTAGAAAAATAAAATTAGAAGAAATTGCAGCATTATTGTTTTCCTGACAGAATACTTTACATTTATTAAGAATGTCGTGGATTCTTAATAACCATAATCTCATGTCATTACTGTTTCAAGTTGTTCAATGGGGAATGTGATCATATTTAACATCTAGGTATTTATTTTAGCCAAGAATGTACTCAGTCCTTTACACTAATAACTTGAATGTCCTATTATCTCTAAGTTGGGATTATCTGTACCAGAAAGATTCAGCTATTAAAATATTTTTCCCAGCTGGGCGTGGTGGTGTAAACCTGTAACCCCAGCACTTGGGAGGCTGAGGTAGGAGTATCACTGCAAGTGAGGACAGCCTGAACTACAGAGTGAGACCCTGTTTCAACAAAACAAAACAAAATGAACTGCCTATTTTGTAGTGGCTTTGGGGATCTATGGCTAAAAGTTCACTTATTTGTGATTTCTAGGAGTCACTAGGTACGTCTCTCAGATGTGCTCAGAATAGATTTGTTTGTTTGTTTTTCCGAGACAGGGTATTTGTATGTAGTGCAGGGTGGCTTTAACTATATAGCCCAGCCACATAGCTGGGATTATAGGTATGCCTCACCACATCTATTTATTCAGGCTTTCTCATTAAGGCTCTATATTTGTCCTCCATGAAAAACAATGATGCACAGTTCCTGTCTCATGATAGCCGGGAGTTTTCAGGGTAACAGAGCTGCACTGGAGTTAAAGACAGAAAGCTCGGCTGGGAGCAAGTTTGCATTATCTGGGCATTAGTTGTTGTAGGTACATTAGTACAATTTTACTTCATAGAACTAAAAACCTTCCCAAGATAAGGAGATGTAAAAAGAATTGATGTGTTATGTACATGTACCAGCATGATGAATGTAATCATATGCTGCAAAATGTACTAATAAAAAGAACTAAAAAACTTAATAGGACTTAAACACCCTTGTGAGCCTTTAATTATTGTTTTTTTCTAACATATAATGTTGATGAATTAAGAGCTGAGTGTGGTGGTGCACGCCTGTAATCCTAGCACTCAAGAGGCTAAGGCAGGAGAATCAATGTTTGAGGCAATCATAATAATACTGATAAACTCATGTACTACTATAGTATACATAGTAGTACATTTTGTTTTTCTCATTTATCATAAACATATTTGCCCACTTTACATTTTCCATTCTACTTTATTATATCTGCATGGCCATTTACCTATTACTAAGCATAGGGGTCATTTTAAAAATTTAAATCATATTTTACAAATCCCAGCACTTTTTAAAGTCATTTTTTTTTTTAAAGACAGGAATCTCATTATGTTACCCAGATTGATCTGGAACTCCTGGGCTCAAGTAATCATCCCACCTCAGCCCTGCAAGTAGCCAGAATTTCAAGGCATGTACCACTGCTCTCAACTTTAAAATCACTAACATTGAAACTAAATTTTAATTAAAATATTTGAATATTTCTCCCCAGAACATGTTTTTGGCAATAATTAATGACACTTATTCTGAAGTGAAAGCAGATTATGCAATAGGAAAAAGGCCAGATTTTGAACTTTGCAAAATGATTAAGATGGTAAGTAAAAATATCTTCCAAACTATAACTCTTGGGGCTGGAGATTTAGCTCAGCGGCATAAGCGCCTGCCTGCCTTGCAAGCGAACAGTCAGTCATGAGTTCGATCCCTGGTACCAATTAAAAAAAAAAAAACAAAAAAACTATTAACTCTTAAGGTAAACATTACTCAGTTTTTACTCTTGTATATTTGTATATTTAAGTTGTATACTTGTATATTTAAGTGTTATTTACTCAAGTAACACTTAAACCCCAAGTGGTAGCTTCTTTTTTGCTCTAGGAGCTGTTTTTTTTTTTTTGGTCCAGTATTACTCATATTGCATTATTTCATTACTAGGTAAATGAAGTAGGCTCTCTGGCTTTAAAAACTATGTGAGTCTAGCTGAAATTATGTGAGTCTTATATATTAAATAGTAGTGATTTATTAAATGCAAAGGGCTATTGGGCACTTAGACTATTTCGTCCCTTCCCAAATTTCCAGCTTAGACACTGGTGTCTATAACAGTGTGACCTGAGAACTCCAGGTGTCTTGTCTTCCTCACTTTTTCTTGTTAAAGCAGTATTCTCAGTCACTGCTGGCTCAAAAACCCTGGCAAGACCTTTTTATTCCTTTACATCTTAAGACAGTCTGTTGTCGAGGCTTGTGTGTAGTTTATCTCTGCAGATCTTGTTCACACTTGCAGAATCCAAGAATCCTTTGAATTTTGCCAGCAATAGTTTAGGATTTTTAGTGTGTTTCACCCAGTCTTCTGCATGGTGACTTCTGTTCTAGCCTCTTATTCAGGCTATTCCAGCTCATCCTGTCAGTGTCCTTGGGCCAATCAAAGTAAGTCCAAATTCTCTATTCAAATATTCCAAACCTTGTTCAGGTCTCTCGGTCTCAATCCATCTTCATTAACTATTTTTTTGTGAGGGTGTAGGAATCAAACTCAGGATCTCACACTTCCCAGGCAGGAACTGTGCCACTGAGTTAAGTCCTTAGCCCCTTTACTATTCTTTAACTATATTGTTTCTACCCTTTCTGCCTTTATTTATTGTACTGTGTCCCAGATTATGTGTTTTGAACACTATGCTGTGTACAATGATACGATGCTTAGGCCTTTGCTCACTGTCATTACCCAAACCTTGAATTTTTTTTTTTTGGGGGGGGGTAGGTGTACTAGGGATTTGACCCAGGGCTTTCACACTGAGTTCCATCCTTAGCCCCTTTTTATTGTTCGAGACATGGCCTTACTACATTGTCCTGGAAGCACTCAAATGTGTGATCCTCCCGCCTCATCCTCTTGGAGTGCAGAGATTACAGGTGGTGCTACCACAAAAATGGTTTTAAAATGTTAACATGTACATGTTAGTACTTTTAAAAGATCTTTGTTTTTCTCAAGTTCTCCTTCAGCTTTTTCTCTAAGGCAAAAACCAGTGTGGTGACAAGGTAAAGGATAATCATGACATTTTTCTTTCCATGTTTCTTTAGTGTAGCAGTCTCTAGAGATAAATATTTCATATTTCATATTTTATTTATATTGATTAAACAATACAGAACATATTTTTGATAAGTTTTCAAACTTTTTAATTATTTCCAGACTTACCATAATGCTCTTGAGAAACTCAAACTGAAGAAAACTCAAAAAGACGACGAGAAAATGTAAGATAAAATTCTACAGATATTTCTCAACTTATGGATTACATCCTGATGAGCCCACTGTAAACTAAAAATAGATATAAGTTGAAAGTAGTGTTGCAAACAGCAAGCAGGAACACCAAAACAACACCGGTGATTTGATGGCAAATTTATTTACATCAATAGGCACTGATTGGGATCATTTCCAGAATATCAGGCCCTGATCTCTGGTGGTCTGGGATTCATACAGAATAAGCAAGCAGGCAATACAGATGCAGAATCATTTTTCAATTAGCGATTGGTTTATACAATGTGCATCATGTGAGCAGTTAGGCATCACAGTGGCCAGCTTTTTCTAAGGGAACAGGAATTCTCATCTGGGGAACTACAAAACTGAAGTATGCTGGAGGGGTATGCATTTTTTTGCTACCATATTAAAAATATTTTAATTCAGAAATGCATTCAGTATATCTAATCTACCAAACATCCCAGCTTAGTCTAAGTACCTTAAGTGGGCTCAGCTGGGCACAATCTAACACAAAGTTTAAAGTACTGAACATTTTATCCAATTTTTAAAATACTTGTAGCCAAAAATCCTGGGCAACACAGCACACTTGTAGAATGGCCGTTGCTTCCCTTCACAATTACATGGCTGACTGGGACCTGCTCCTGCTCCTAGTATCTTACCACATGCGGCTAGCTGAGGAGATCAAAATTTAAAATTGGAGTGTATTTCTACTGGATATGTATTATTTTTGCATCATTAATTTTTTAAAATCCAAAGTTGAAGCCTGGTGTAGAGGCACATGCCTGTAATCCCAGAACTCAAGAGGCTGAGGCAGGATGGTCACTGTCAGTTTGAGGCCAGCGTGGGCTACAAAATGAGTTGAGGGCCAGTCTGGGATACATAGTGAGACTGTCATAAAAAAGAAATCTGGAGTTGAACCATGGTTAGGTCAGGAACCATTATAGGAGAAACTTTACAGGAGAAACTGACAGTGAGTTAAGTATCTGGTTACAAAACAGCCACCAAACTGGTGATTGTGAATCCACTGCCATTGTATCTAGTAGTGCCTACTTCTGAGGATGCCTTGAAACTAAGCTAATTTAACATTAATGTAAGGTTAGAATATAGCTCAGTGGCAGAGCAGTAGCCTAGCATGTGTGTAGCCCGAGGTTTGATCCCTACCACTACTGAAAACAATTACTAATTCAATATATGCCTCACTTCTTGGAAAAAGCTTTGAAAGGAAGCTGGAAGAATAAAGTGCCTCTAAATAGGTAGAAAACAACTTTAGTCTTTATCAGTTGCATGTATTTAGCTATCAAAATAAACACATTTTACACACAATGCTTACATTTAATATTTACACTTGTAGTTAGCATTATACTTATATTTATTAATTTGTTAAGTTCTCCAAACTGCTTGTAAAAATGTAACTTTTTTCTTGAGATGGAATGTCACTATGTTGCAGTTTACGCTGTCCTTGAACTCACTCTATAGCCAAAGCTGGCTTCAAACTCAGGTGATCATCCTGCCTCAGCCTTTCTATTGCTGGCATCACAGGTGTGCACCATCACATATCCAACTAAAAATGTAAAATTTTTAGAGCTAAAGATATATGATATTTTGAACCTATTAATGAACACATTTTCCAGATAATTACCATTTCAGAACAGAAATACAATTCAGATCTTCATTAGTGATCAGATTGCATTTAATTGTGGCAATTCCCTTTACTTTTCTATTCCTCTGATTTTTATTTTATATTTTAGCAGCAAAAGCAATGGACATTTGGTTGAACAAACAGGAAGAGAACGCTTGGATGAAAATGTAAGATTTCAATTTTTTTATAAGCAAAAGTAGCAGCTTTCTACTAAAGCTTTTTAAAAGTTCAGATAAAAGCCTGAAATAATTTGCTTTACTCAGAGTACTCTGCTCTGGCATTCCCACAGAAATCTTCCAGCACTGAGACCCTTCCTCCTCATGCAGCATGAAGCATCTGGGCTTCAGGTGCTTCCTTGCACCCCTGGGTGCTCTCAGCCACTCTGCAGGCACCCACTCACGGTGGGAATCCCTCAGAGATACTGGCTCTAAGAGAGTTCCATCATTCTTCTCTCACATTCATTAATATGATGAGTTAATGACTTTTTATATTTCAGAAGTTGTATATATTCAGTGTAAAATTTAAGGGATATACATGTGGAATATTTAAGCAATGGACACCCCAACACTCAATTCAAAAGGAGAAACAATATTGTTGTGTTGCTCCATCACCTTTCTCCTACTAAAAAAAAAAAAGTGCTCAGCAAGACAGTAGAGCCAGGAGCCTGCAACAGGCCAGCAAATGGATATAGGAATATGGGTTTGGACTGTAAAGAAGTCACAAAAATGGGAAAGCTCAAGATTAAAACCAACTCTCTGGTGTTGGATTAGAACAGTATTCTTGGCTGGGGATTTAGCTCAGCGGCATAAGTACCTGCCTTGCAAGCATGAGGTCGTGAGCTCAATCCCCAGTACCAAACAACAACAACAGTACTCTTTAAGCTCTGTCCACTGAGGACTGGAAGAAATGGCACACTAGTAGCAGTTAGCATGACTATTACCCTGATACTGGTTTACAAATATCATTCTACTTTAAAAGGAAGCAGGGCTCCTTAAAGATGTTAATAATTCCAGGGTAAGTTCAAGGTGAGTCTGGAATATCTTGAGCCAGACAATAAAACATTCAAAGAATAATGGAGATCTATTACAGGACATAAGAGTCAGCTACAGGGGGTCAAACTAGCCATTTGAGGTTTACAATCTGCTGAACAAATAGGATTTCATAAAGCCATACTGATTTAAACATACAATGAGTAAAAGTCTGAAGAGGAATGGGATATTTACAAACATCTCCACAAAATATGTAATTACAAAAAGAAAAGCAGTAATGTTAGGGCAAAGTCAGATTGACAGTAGTATCTTAACTAAATAAGTGATTATGTTAGCACTGGAAGTTAAACCCTATTCCCCCTGAGGATGCCATGGAGTCACCACATCTTCTGTAACATCCCTAAAATACATAACCTGAATCCAGTCACAGTAAAACTTAACACAAAACTAACCTAAAAGACATTCTACAAAATTACCAGTCTGTAGTCTTTATTTTTTTTTTAATGTTTTGTTTTCTGAGACAGCCCAGGCTGGCTTTGATCTCGGGGCACCCCTCCTGCCTCAGCCTCCCAAGTGCTGAGATTACAGGTGTGTGCCACCAGTCCGTTTCTGGGCCTGTATCCTTTAGAAGTGTTATAAAAACACACAGCAACTATTCCAGATTGAAATAAAAGGGCAAGTAATACAATATACAATCTTTGACTAGATCCCTTAGTCTGAGATTTTCTTTTAAAAATCTGTAATTCAATAAACCATTCCTGAAATAAAACATGATGTGAAGGACATATTACTGTGTAAAAGAAATTTTACCTAATGTTTACCAAGTCCACACGAAACTATCCAAGCTAAAAATAAAATAATATATAGTCTTTTTGAGACAGGGTCTCACTGTGCAGTTCAGGCTGGTCTTGGACTCACTTTGTAGCCTAGGCTGGTCTCAGCCTCTCGAGTGATAGGATTACAGGAATGCACCACCGTGCCTGGTTCAATCCAAATAAAATTTGGATTTACTTAAAAAGAAAAATCAGGTAAGACTAATATTCAACACCATATATCAACAAAGAGAAAATATAAAGAATATATATATTTTTTGAGACAAGGCTTTTTTTTAATAAGGTTTCACTATGCAGCTCAAATTAGCTATGAACTCACTTTGTAGCCCAGGCTGGCCTTGAACTTGCGGTGATCTTCCTGCCTCAGCCTCCTAAGTGCTGGGATTACAGCTGTGAGCCACCATGCCTGGCAAGTCAAGAATTTTTATACCAAAACTGTGCTTCAAATTAAAAGGCTCACCAGATGTGGTGGTACACACTTGTAATTCAGCAGTTATGAGACTGAGGCAGGACTACGTATCACCATCAGTTCAAGGGCAGCCTGGGCTACATGAGACCCTGTCTCAAAAACATCAGAATATTACTGTTTTTTTGGAGGATTCTGCTATAGGAGGAGCTTGAGCAAACTAAGAGATAATTGAAACTTCAGAAAAAGGATGGATCAAGCAGGAGGCTACAAAGTAGAAGCTGACTTGTTCTTAAATTACAACTAAAAACAATGATTTACTCAGCCAGGCATAGTAGCACACACCTGAAATCTCAACACTCAGGAGGCTGAGGCAGAAGGATCATTGCAATTTTGAGAGCAGCCTGGGCTACAAAGTGAGTTCAAGGCCAGCTTAAAGTGCATAGTGAGACCTTCCCTCAAAGACAAGATATAGCCGGGGATGCAGCTCAGCAGTGTATGTGCCTGGCTGGCAAGCACGAGGTTGTGAGTACAAAAAAAAAAAAAAAGACAATATAAATGATTTTAAAAAGTGATTTAGATTTACAACTAAGTCATTTCAAGTTAACAAACCAAGGAAACAGCATATTTAAGAGTGTAATTGTAGGTAAGATTTTGTTTTGCAGTATTATGGGTAGAACCCAATGTGTTTCCATATTTCTACGTCTTTTTAAAATTTCTCTCACGATTTACTCACAAAGTTTTTGTAGTTTTCCCTATACATATCTTTGACCTCCTTAGGTAAGTCAATTCCTAAGCAATTTATTCTTTTATTTATTTGTTTGTACCGGAGATTGAACTCACAACCTTGCGCTTGCCAGGCAGGCGCTTATGCCACTGAGCTACATCCCTAGCCCCAATTTATTCTTTTTTAAAAAAAAATTATGCTGGAAATGGTGGTGCAACCATGTACTCCAGTACTCAGGAGGCTGAGACAGGAAGATCACTGTAAGCTCAAGGCCAATGTGGGTTACAAAATGAACTCAAGGCCAGCCTGAACTGCACTGTGAAACCCTGCTTGAAAAAAGACAAAATAATGCCTATTAATTTTACTAAAGAGGTTCCAATGTGGTATTGCCAAATATGCATATATTCTCCATTCCTATTACTCTCCATTATATGCTCCCATTCCCTTCCTCTTGTCCAACAGTCTCCCTTCTACTGTTATGTCATCTCTTTTAGATTCTACATATTAGGAAACTCAACCCTTTCCCTGTTTTTAAATTTTAAAGCAGTGTCTTGCTAAACTCCCTCTGAACTTTCAATCTATTTGCTTCAGCCTACCAGAGTGCTAGGATTACAAGCATGCAACACCAGGTCTGGTGTGTTTTACTGATCTTTAAAATACATTTGTTTTTCAGATTTTAATAATCAGAAGCTAAAATGTGTCTTATAGTTAACTATGTATTGTTAGAATAGTTTGATAGAATTTTTCACTACACAGCTTTAAAAATGGATAGCATCTCCTATATATGAAGATCCCACCTCTCAGATATGAAGAAAATGAAATGTGATAAGTAGTAGAAAGACTTAGAAGCTAATGCTTGTTGATCATAGTAGGGAACCATAATAAGAAAGGGAAGACCAAAATATAGAAGATGGATAAAGCTGGGCATGGGGGGATCCCATTACTTAGAGGAAGATGAGGCTGTAGGATAAGGATCTCAAGATCAAGCCCCGCCTGGACAACTTAGTGATACTTTGTCTCAAAGTAAAAAACTTTTTAAAGGCTAAGGATGTAGCTCAGTATGAAGGCCCGGGATTTAAACCCCAGTGTACATGCACACACACACCACCAGAACAAAAATACATATATTCCTAAAAGGTAGAAGCAGAAAAACAAAGAACAGAAAGCAAAATACACGGTGAAAGTTAAAAAAAAAAAATACACGTAAATAAACAATTTACCTGAAAAGATTTTCCACGTTTAATTACAAAGCAAATCTAATTCTGTGCTATATTTTAAAATACATCCTTAGGGTGATTCAGAAATATCACATACAGAAAAATTTTAGGCATGGTCATGAGTTTAAAAAAAAAAAAAAAGACTAGAGTTTGTAACTTAAGTCAACGTGGAAATTAGGGCAAAAAGCTTTGAATTACATGAAGGGAATTTTATTATAAGGCTAAGATAGATTTATTTTTTGTTTTGAGACAGTGTCTCACTATTCCAGGTAGGCTTTCAACTTGCAGTGATCCTCCTGCCCAGCCTCATGAGTACTAGAATTAAAGGCATGTGTCACCATGCCCTCAAAAGTGTAATTTAACACTTATAAACATCTACACACAAATATCTCAGAAATACACAAAACAGATGAAGGAAACAAAGGATAAAGCAAACCAAAACAATGTAATGAGTAGTGATATTAGTTACATATTAAATTTTTTACTCCTAAGATATACATTTATAAAACTTACCCAGCCACAAAAAATCTCAATAAATTCTAAAAAGTAAAAATTTAAACATAGTAAAAATATAAAATAATAACATTTTAAAAAAGAAAATTCTACCTGGGTGTGGTGGTGTATTTTGGCAATCTAGTGTTCTAATAGGCAGGAAGATCACAAATTCAAACCCAGTCTGGACAACTCAGTGAGACCAGCTATAAATAAATAAATAAATGGGGGTTTGCTTTGATCAAAAAACGTAAAACCCTATTAAGTAACCCTTGAATGATTAACAAAATGAAATTACAGAATTTCTGGAAAACAACATTAAAACATTATTTATGAGATAAATAATACCAAGAGAGAAATTGAAATGCAAGTGCCAGACAAGGTGATACAAGCCTGTAACCCTAGCACTCAAGAGGCTAAGGCAGGAAGATCACAAGTGGTTTTTTTTTTTTTTTTTTAATCCCAGGCGCTTATGCCATTGAGCTAAAGCCCCAGCCTCTGAGGATCACAAATTTAAGGCCAGCCTGGGCTACACAGTGAGTTCAAGTCTAGCCTGAGCTATACTATACAGCAAGATCCTGTCTCAAAACACTAAACTGAAACAAAAATTTTATCCAACAATGATAAACAGAGTACAGAAAAGCAGTAAGTAAAGATACAAGTAGAATTTATGAGTTATAAACCAAAAAATGTACAAAATAAAAAGTCTGGTTCTCTGGAAACATCAGTGGAACTAGTGGAATAAAGGTTAAAAGCATAAACACACAACAATAGGGGAAATAAAAGGATTAAAAGATATCACTAAGACTTCTGTATAACTCTATAAGCAACATTTTAAAAACAGAACTAAAAGGCTGGAGGTTTAGTTCACTGGCATAAGCACCTGCCTTCTAAGCACACAGTTGTGAGTTCAATCCCCGGTACCAAAAAAAAAAAAAAAAAAAAGAAAGAAAAAGAAACATCCCAAAACAAAATAGAACTGGCTGGGTGTGGTGATGCATGCCTCTAATCCTAGCACTTGGAAGGCAAGATCACTGAGAGTTCAAGGCCTGCCTAGCCTACCAAGTGAGTTCATGGTCAGCCTGAACTACAGAGCAAAACCCTCAAAAAACAAAACTGTTTCATGAAAATGGAATTTGTCAAAATTGAGCCCAATTTTATAAAAAGCCTAAGCCCATTCTGTAGAAAAATTTTATCAAAGCGGCATTTCCAGAATTAAGTGTTTCACAAAGGGAATTCTACAAGATTTTAAGAAACAAATAATTTCAAGCCACATATTTGTCCTCTAACAGGAGATTCAAAGAGCTGAGCAGAGGAAAAAATGGAAGGAGAAATTTGAAAAAAAATATTCTACAGAAATTCAGGATGACTACCAGCCTGTCACTCAACAAGAATTTCACGAGTGAGCATTTGTTGTAACTGGGGTACTGTGAGACACCATGAACTAGAGATTGAGGGTATGAGTTACATTTTCTACTGAACCTAGATCTTCACTCTGTTGTCCCACTTTCTATCCAATTTTAAAATTAAACCACATGGGGCTGGGGATTTAGCTCAGCGGCATAAGCGCCTGCCTTGCAAGCAGGCAGTCGTGAGTTCGATCCCTGGTACCGATAAAAATGAAAAAGACCAAAAAAAAAAAAATTAAACCACATGGCTCCATTTGCTTAAGACTTTTTAACCCTACACTTCTAAATGGTATTAACTGCCATTTATATATGACATGCATAGCAGATACAGTTCTCCAAATAGCTTTAGAATGTCAGAGATACAACCAGCCATACAAAAAACTCATTTTAGGAGCCTGTCTTTCCTAATAAGCACTAATAACCTTCTTTATAAAGTATGTTAATGATTTATTCTCTAACCACTTCTAAATTTTTTCTAGACTCTTTTTATATGCTGTAGAACTGGAGAAGGAATTACAGTACATCAGTTTAAAACTAAACCGAGTGACGAGAAAGTTCTCAGCTATATAATACTAAGTGAAGGTAAGAATCTGTGAGGCAATCATGGAGCATGTCTAACGAAGATTTATTCATGTATTAGCTAAACCCTTCCCCATTTCAGCCTCGTGTAGTGGTTTAACATCCTAATCCTAGCACTCGAGAGGCTGAAGCAGGAGGATCACAAATTGCACCCCAGCCAGAACAATTTAGCATCTCAAAACAAAAAGGGCACACTTGAGAGGCTGAGGCAGGAGGACTACTGTGAGTTCAAGGCCAGCCCAAACTTTATAGCAAGACCATGTTTTTGTTTTTTTTTTTTTTTTTTTTTGTCTTTTTCATTTTTATTGGTACCAGGGATCGAACTCACGACTGCCTGCTTGCAAGGCAGGTGCTTACGCCGCTGAGCTAAATCCCCAGCCCCATAGCAAGACCATGTTAAAAACAAAAACAAAAAGGACTGGTGATGTAGAATTCTGTGAAGGCCCTGGGTTCAACTCCCAGTACCATAACCAAACCATTAACCACCTATCATCAAAATATCAGGGTCAATTATAATAATCAGATGATTTCCAGGAATGAAGTGCCACTGAATGGAAACCACAATCTATAAATGCTGGGGAGGTGGCTCAGTGGTACAGTGTGTCTGCCTTGCATGCACAAAGTTCTGGGTTCAACCCCCAGACAAAAACAAAAAACAAAAGCCTCAAACCCACTTAAAAAAAATCCGATTCACATGCTACGATAGGCCCTCCTGTATACACACACTAGAATACACACAGTAATTTTGAGCTCCATTATATTAAATTGTAGGAATGTGAAGGGAAAATACAAAATAATGCGTATACATTATGGGGCACATCTCTTTAACAGTTAGTTCACTAAGTATGTGAAGAAAGTTTTCTCAGAGAATACAAAATGTCGATGCTTTTAAGTACCATGTTCTGACTTCCTCTGGCCACAGATATGAGTAAAGACTTTAGTATAACCACTATATATAACCCAAATAAAAGAATCTCCCTCCTTCAGAATTTTAAGCCTCCTGGAAAAATCCAAAGTGTAAAAGATAGAAGTATGTATAGAAGTTTCACTAATATTTTTAAACTGAAATTCACCTAGTTTCTCAAATAGCACATTTGAAGTTTTCCAAAATAAAGAACAAGGCAGACATACCAGGGTCATTAAGAGGTTCAATTTGGAAACTGCAAATGTGACTGCTGGAAGAGTCCTGTCTAGATGGTAGGAGAGATGTTATATGCCTGCAAACCGAAAGGAAATTTTTAATTTTTCTAGGCTACCTAGGCCCCCATAACCCATGTGTTCTTTTAACCCAAGCAGTATTTATTTGACCAAAATATTCAGCTTACATGTGAGTGATATGGATTTTAAAATTTGGTAAGTGTTTATTTTTGTATTTGGTTTGTGAACAGGGTTTCCCTGTGTTGCCAGCGTAGGGTGGCCTCTAGCTCCTAGCCTCCAGCATTCCACCTGCTTCAGCCTCTAGAGCAGTGGCATACAGCAAATGAAAGATTTTTAAATTACTACCTCCACAGGCCAGGCTAATCTCTCAGAAACTATACAGAAGTTTTCTTAATAGGATAACTCATTACAAAAATAAATGCTGACTCTTCTCTCTGCAGCTTCTCCCTGCCTTCCTGCCAAATCACTCAGTAATGCTGGCACCCTGAGTGGGGTAATTCCTAAAATTAAGAAAAAGGAACATGTGAGGTTTAACTTTTTAAACACTGAATTTGTGTTTACTGAATTACAATTACTTAAAACACTGAGTCCTTTTATTACAAAAATCTACAGAATGAAGTGCTAGACACACCAATGCAAATTAGTGGACATGTAATATCTATACAGTATTGATATGTAAATATACACTTTTTTTATACTAAAGTAAAGCTACCATAAACTCCCTAATTCTACCACTTACTGCTCAACTGTGGTAACATAATACTGTCACATACTGTTAAGTGCTGCCATTTCCCATTTACCTCCTCTACTCACAGCCAAACATTAACACTGAATAACCAACATCAACTCTAAAATAAAACCAGTGAGGCGAATGATTTATAAATATAGGTACTCAAATAGCATTATCATTGTAAAGGAATATATTACTTAAAACAGTGCATGTAGAGATTTTTGCATGGGGTATATAAAATATTCATAAAAACCAATAAACAGTACACATGAAATTAGATGTTACACTCATATATGGAGATCAAAAGAATTAAACGTTCACATGAAGGAGGCAAATAAAAGTGATACATCTTTTGACATTGTCAATTTTTACTTTTATAGGAATAATAATACTATGAACAACCTAATTAAAATGAAACACACAAGAAAGACTGGATTTAGTGCTTCTTTAATTCCTCTATTACACATCTACTACCACTGGATTGCCTCCCCCTCCCCAAAAAAGGCATTGCACACACAAATGAAATGTGAAGTACTAGAAACACTTATTTATTATCAAGCTACTTCATGTGCTTACTAGGTAATAGTGCCAGAAGTTTGAGGTTCATGCTTCCCTCACCTTATTAAATAATGTCACAAAATTCCATTGTTGTATGAAATAAACTTTTAATCTTAGCTAGTTAAGAAAACCATGCATGAGTTGTTGCATGCAAATTATGGGCACAAAGTGAGGCACTCATCAACCCAAAAGCACCAGGAAAAAAAAAAAAAAATGAACATTTAGCTTAAGCCTGTTGTATTTTAACACAAATGAAGTCACCATTCCATAAAAATGATTAGCAGAATGACACCAAGAGTACCTGAAGAAAAGCCAAGCAAAGCCAAAGGACAAAAGACGTTAAGCATGTATGACAAGGGACATACCACTATACATACTGTAAATGGCTGCTCTAACAGAATTAAGCAAAAAGTCTCTTTTAGAGGGTGATTCATTGTACAGATTTTGCTGGAGGAAAAAAAAACAAGACGCAGCCCCCTGAAGTTCATGTAAAAATGCAGTGGTATAGCCCTTGTTATCAGCAATTTACTTAGGCTTAATGATTACTTTACCAATTAGGCCCATTAAATTAAACACAGAAATCTGAGCACCATCAGAGTTCCTACATACTGACATGGCTATTTTCTCACCTTATCTGGAGGTGACTGGGGGAATAGCCCACAACCTAATCCAGACAAATACATCATCAGCTGAGAAATTGTAATTTAGGAACAAACAGTCCCATAGGCAGCATGTGGTATGATTCAGTTCTGTGTGTGATGTGTGGTATGTTTTCAATAGGCTAAACAAGGTCACTTTTTGGTCTACCTAATGTTATCTTCATCCAAGAGCTTTGTGACCAGTGAATTGCAAAATTTTGCTAATATTCTACCTGTGAGAAAGTGTCACTCTGAGAATTAAACAGAAAGGTATTCCACAGTAGGACTTGTAATCTCAGTTTCATTTTGGTTTTCTAGGAAAACAGAACACAGCTGCATATGTGCACTTCTATAGGCTTTTAAAATTTTCAGTCATAAGAAAAAGGCAACCGAAGAGTTCAGTGTGAAGCTTTTCCTCTCCATTTTCTTCAGTAATGGAAAAAAAAAAAAAAAAAAAAAAAAAAAAAAAGCAGTAACAAAAAGCTTTGTATTTCCAAAGTTCTTGAAGTTGAAAGGATAAAATTCTAGTCTTTTGCTAATCAAATGTGTTGGTAGTACAAAACAATGAAGGAGACTGCATGTTTGCTAACAGTGAAGAGGACAGTCTGTGGTGTATATAAATCATCACTTACGCTCCCTGAGAGGGCCTAGGTACCCTCCCCTCACTTGCTTAGTGGCACCACAACCAAGTACAAAATGAGTGCCTGACAAAATGAACTCAAAGACCAGTCAAGTACACATGATGATAGCGTCAAGGAATACAACTGACTTTATGATGTGAATTTTCAAGAAGCGTATTTTATATGGATTTTGAAGAATCTTGTTTGCTGATAAGAACTTCAAGAAGTCTGAGCTTGGCTTTAATTTTCTTGTACTCCCTGTATTCCTCAAGCACTGGAACACGATCCTCTTTTTGGGCATTCCTAGGGGAGAAAAAAAAAAAATCTGTACTGCTCTCTAGAGACCACCTGGAAAATAGCCTCAGAAGTTGTTCTAATATGAGATACAGTATTACTAATTATAAATTCAAATAAAAAGTTGATGGACTAATTTTCTTATCCCCAAAGTTACCAGACTAATTCATCTCCAAAGAACATTCCTAAAATATTGAACTATCTTTACTGAGTTTCTCTACTAATAAATTTTTTTTTTGTCTTTTTCAGTTTTTATTGATACCAGGGATCGAACTCATGACCGCCTGCTTGCAAGGCAGGTGCTTATGCCGCTGAGCTAAATCCCCAGCCCCTTCTACTAATAAAATTAAGTAAAGCTATACTTCCCTTATTAGTAATCAGTGAGAAGAATTGGAAATAATCTAATTATTTTAATAAGATATTACTGCCATGGGCTGGGGATTAGGTCAACGGCATTTAAGTGCCTGCCTAGCAAGCACAAGGTCATGAGTTCAATCTCTAGTACAAAAAAAAAAAAAAAAACGAAAAGAAATTATTGCTAAATTTTGTCAGGTCTGTGTCTTTTTAATGCCAAAAAGCCACAATGAGCCAAAACAATTAGTAAACTGGCTCCAGTGAATTAAGAAATCAACTAGTTTACCTATTTTATATTAATGACCAAGGCAGTTTAATCACTTGCAAAACATTTCAGTAAATGAAATTTTCTTCCAATTATATAAAGAATGCTCAGTGTGGTAGGGGATACCTATAATCCCAGCATTTGAGAGGCTGAGGCAGCATTTGTGAGGCTGAGGCCAGCCTGAACTATTCTAGCTCAAAAAACAAACAAACAAAAACCCCACAAATGAAAAACCAATTAATATAAAGAAATTGAAGGCACTCAGAAAATGCATTTGTGTATTTTAGATTTTCTTAATTGTATATACGAACCTGTATAGGAGATTGTCAAAGCAGAAGAAATGATACCACTTCAAAAGCAAGTTTACTTTAACCCACTTTTGAAAAGCGGGTTTACTTTGACCTGCTTTTGAAGTTGTATCAGGGGTACTGGTTTAAAAGAGTTCCCCGGTACAGGGGTACATTCTTGTAAGACAAGCTGAAACAAAAATTACAAGTGCCAGAGTAGCCTGCCTTACCTAGTGAGACTCTGAAAAACAGATCAATAAATAAAACAGTTCCCCAGAGTCAACTATGTATACTAGTAAGATAAAGGTTCATGCTATCATGTTTTACAGGAGCCACATACAGTGCTGTAAGTTCTAAAAGATCTGCCACCATCGTCCTAGGACAATCTTGAAATTATTTTTATGGAAGTACTAGGGATTAAAGTCAGTAGCCCTCTACCACTGAGCTACACCCTTTCTATGTTTTTATTTTTAAACAGAGTCTTGTTAAGTCACCCAAGGCAACTTTGAATTTATAATGCTCCTGCCTCAGCCTCCTGAGCCACCATGCCTGGCCAACCTTGAAATATTTTTCTTAGATGTTATTTACTTCAGCTGTGACTTTTCATTACCATTAACAGTAGCAGGACTTCAGAACATAAAGGAATACCATAAAATTTTACTTTAAATGCCATATCTTATTTCTAATCCAATATGTTCCACTATTTTAATTTATAAGCATTTTGTGAGCTAATGGAGATGACTCTTTTGTGATGTTCAACAAACCTTCCATTTTGTTGATAAAATGCTTCTTCAAATTCCCGTAATGTTTTACGTAGTTTCTTTTTTTCAGCTCTGGCTTTCCAAAGTTGTTCCAATAATTCAGGCCTAAAATTTAAATGGAGAAAAACATTACTAAAAGGATAAAGTATTAAGTATATTCTTAAGAGTAGTTCTAGTCCTGGCCCAAATTAAAATCAGTTGGGAAAAAGAAAAAAAAAAAAAAAACTTTTTAAAATCAACTCAGTTGAAAAGCTTTTAGAGCAAATCAGAGGCTAAGCTCTATCTTGAATCAAATCAGATTAGTTGATAGCCAAGCATGGTGGTGCATGCCTATAATACCAGCACTTGGGGGGGCTGGGGATTTAGCTCAGTGGCATAAACGCCTGCGTTGCAAGCAGGCAGTCGTGGATTCGATCCCCGGTACCAATAAAAAGGAAAAAGACAAAAAAAAAAAAAAAAAAAAAAACCAGTACTTGAGAGGCTGAGACAAGCGGATCATTGTGAATTCAAAACCAGCCTGGACTACAAAGTGAGCTCAAGGCCAGCCTGAACTGCAGAGTGAGTGAGACCCTGTCTCAAAAAAACAAAAACAAACCAGAATAGTTGAAAATACAGCTCAGCATCAGCTCTTTAAAAAAAAAAAATCTTGGCAGTGCACACTTGTAATTCCCGCACTCAGATCACTTTGAGTTCTAGGCTAGCCTGAACTACATAGTGAGACCCTGTCTCAAAAAAAAAAAAAAATTAGCTGGGGGTTGGTGGTGCACACCTGTAATCTCAGCATTCTGGGCAATTTAGTGAGACAGTCTCAAAAAAAAAAAAGTTACGGACACTGAGGCAGGATTGCCATGCATTCCAGCCTAGACTATATAGTGAGACCCTGTCCTTAAAAAAAAAAAAAAAATTTACACACATAAAAAAATTACACACATAAGAAGTAGGATAATGGGCCGGGTATTTAGCTCAGCAGCATAAGTGCCTGCCTTGCAAGTGTGCGGTCATGAGATCAATTCCCAATACCAAAAAAACCAGTAGGAAAGAGCCCTGGCTTCCATCCCCAGTACAGAGGGTGTCTTCCTACTTGATTACAAGTGTAGTCAGGGTTCAGAACCTCTGTCATAAATCACACAGTCTCTGGAAGAGGCTATGTACTCACTATGTACTACAAACACCTAAATAATTATATCTTATCATCAACACATCTACTTAGGTGTTTCCTATACTTTGTTATAAATACAATACAGGGTTTAAAAAAAATTTGAAACATATTCAATTAAGAAAATGAGAATGACAACATTTATAAATCACACTATAAGGGAATATCCCTTTGATTAATTTTTGATTCATCTCTCCAAGTACTCAATAATTTAACATAGATTTCTTGGCATATAAATTTTGTTGAATAGGCTAAAATCGCAAACCAGTATACATACATAGAAGCTGCTCGAGTACTTGACAATCGGAGATCCAGAGCCAGTTTCTGATTTTCTTCAATATCAGATTCTGAGTTTTCCAAAGAAGACTGTGCCTGTATAGCTGTTTTCAAGATATCATTTAATTCAGAGGATAAACTAATACCATCTTCTTCTTCTTCCTAAAAAAAATAACCGAACAGAAAATCAAACAGTCTTTACTTGCAACTTTTCCTTTAGGAAAAAGATCAGAGAATGAGAAAAAGATTAGAAAATGAGTTCTCTAAAGAATTACCTTGATTTCTTCAAAAAAATGTGCAGTTTCTCCTTCTATGATTGGCTGTAACATCTGACCTCTTCTTTTGGTGGAGGGAGATCCCTGTTAAAAATACATTTTACATTAAAGTATTTTCTGAAGTTCTATTTCTTTGTTATAGGGGAACATGATTTTCAAAATCATAAGCATATAGTTTTAATTATTTTAGAGTTTCTTAATAAATTTGTTTGCCTTATTTTTCTTACATTTATGTGTGAGTGATAAATAATTTGTGTCTAGAAAAGTCTAAAAGATAATGGAAGGAAAAGGAAGGAAGGGGAAATATAAAGAATTAAGATGGGTTAGGTACATGCACCAACTCCTCACAATGAAAGTAATCACTATGCACTACAAACACCTAAATAAAAGTTAAGTCTAAAACAACTCATTCAATGAACATTTTTAAAATTCTAAATAAGAAAGCATTACATGCAGTTTAATAGGAAGCATGTTTCTTTGAAAAAAAATTTGACAACGTTTCTGGTACAAGGACCCTTTTGTACATTTTTGTAAGAGTTTTAAAATGTAATTACTTGTTGTAAAATTCATCATTTAAAAAATGTACAATTCTGTCACCATATTCTAATTCTAGACCCAAGTGTCTGTGTCTGTCACCTGATGAATGGATAAAATATATTTCCATACACTGAAATACATTATTCAGCAATGAGTAATGAAGTATGGATATACGTATGCTAAGATGAATATGCCTAGAAAATACGTTAAGTGAAAGCAGCTAGACACAAAAGACTTCATAGTGTATATTTATATGAAATATTAAGAATAGGCAAATTCATTATGACAAACTAGATTAATGTTTACTGAGGGATGGAAGTGTTTTATTTTGTTGTTGTTTTTTTCCCTCCAGTTCTGGAGATTGAACTCACAGCTTTCACACTGAGCTATAGCCTCAGCTCCTTTTTAAATCTGTTTTTTTCCTGAGATGGGGTTTCACTAAGTTGCCCATGCTAAGCTCAATCTTATGATCCTCTTGCCCTCAGCCTCCCTTAAGTGCTGGGATTACAGATGTTCACTACCACACCCAGTACCATTCTTTTGCACTGGATAGCCAGGTATCCTGATACCATATGTTGAAAAATTGTTCTAGCCAAGCATAATGGTACATACCTATCATCTCAGCACTCAGAAGACTGAGGCAAAAGGATCACCACAAGTTCAAAGCCAACCTGGACTACATAAATAAGTTTAAGGCCACGCTGAGCTACATAGCAAGGCCTTGTCTCAAAAAAAACCCCAGGGGGCTGGGGATTTAGCTCAGCGGCATAAGCGCCTGCCTTGCAAGCAGGCAGTCGTGAATTCGATCCCCAGTACCGATAAAAAAAGGAAAAAGACAAAAAAAAAAAAAAAAAAAAACAACCCAAATAAAAAACTGTTCTTTGCTGCTGATTTTGTTTTAGCTTAACTTTTAGATTCCAAATTTAATTGTTATAATTGCTATATTTAACAGTCTACACAATACAGAAATGTTTCAATAGAGTCAGTTTTAAAGACTGGTTGGACATGGTAACACATGCCTGTAATCCTAGTACTTGAGACGCTGAGTTGTAGGGCTAGTCTGAACTGCATAACAACACCCTGTCTCAAAAAGACAAAAAAGGGGAGGGGAAAGGAGGTAGGCAGGCAGCAGACAGACATGAAGAATTCTAAAGTGGTTTTCCATAATTTCTAGGAGGCTAACCCCTTGGGGATCCCTCCTGTGTCAGGAACTATTCCTATTCCCCATTCCTTTTCTCCATTTTCCTACTTTTAAAAACAAAACTTCAAGGAATATTATGCTATTATGAAGTTAGGTAATGAAATATCAGTGATACTTAAAATGCCTTGCTATCAAAGGATAAAATCTATTATTAAACTTTCTTATGTGAAAATATATACTATACAGAACTCTTTGTCAAAAGAAAACTGTAAATAAAATTGTGAGAAGGCTTAACAGGAGTTCAAGGCCAGGCTGGAACAGCGTAAAGCAGAAGCAGGATGGTCACAAGGAGCTGGAGGTCAGCCTGGACTGTGTAGTGAATTTAAGGCCAGTCTAAAACTACACCACGAGATGGGGGCGGGGGGAGGGGGAGGCGTGAAGGGGAAGAGAGAGAAACTCCAGCAAAGCAAAAAGCCCTGATCAACTAAAAAAATGAGTTAACATGATACCTAATTAAAAAGTACTCTGGGCCAGGGATATAACTCAGCAACACAAATGCCTGCCTGGCAAGCACAAGGTCGTGAGTTCGATTCCCAATCCAAAAAAAAAAAAAAAAAAAAAGCTCTGAAGGTGAATGGAAGCCTAGTACTGAGTAATCAAGGCAAGGAAACCCACATCAAAATGTCTGAAAGCTGAAATAAACATAAGCTCTAGTGAATTACACTCTGGGAAATAATACAGAATTATACCCAGAAGAAATCTACTTATATATTAATGGTTAATTAGGAAATAGCACTTGATTTGTATGTAAGTATTGTGAGGTTTTTTTATTGTTGTTGTTTAAAACAACCTACAATCAAGGATGGTGTGGTAGTGCATGCCTGTAGTCCTAGAAATTCAAGGGGCTAAAGTGGTAGCACACAATTTAACACTAGCCTGGGCAACATAATGAAACCCCATCTCAAGAAAATGAATGAAATAAAAACAAAAACTAGGGCCAAAGATATGACTCAGTGGCATAAGCACCTACTTGGAAAGCGAAAGGTGCCGAGTTTAACTCCCAGTACCAAAAATAGTAGTGATAATAATAAAAAAAATTTTTATTTTAAAAGTTATTTTAATAGATTTTGTCCCACTAAAAAAGGTGTTCTGAGAAATCCAAATGCAACTGGATGATCACAATCATGATTTGCCATCACGTAACTGTGGTATTCTCAAAAGAGATGGAACTGAAATGGAAACAAACTAGGCAAAAAATGTGAAATATAAACTTTTCATTCTACTTCTATCACTTATAGAGTAGGCCACTTGAGCATAATTACCACCTGTACCATAATTTAATCCCCTGAGAAAAGAGACCATCATATTCTATCTCTTGTGCTTTTACTTGTCAGGATGTCATCATACAAACATATATAAAAATGCTTACCAAAGTATCTGAATATAATTGTAGGCAGTTCTTAATTTCTTTCTTTCCTTCTTTTCTGGACTTCTGAGTCAGGGTTTCACTACGCCGTTCAGACTTGCCTTGAACTCAAACTGTAGCCCAAATTGGCCTTGAACTCCTATTGATTCTCCTTCCTCAGCCTCCCAAGTACTGGGATTACTATGCCCTGTTCTTATTGTGCCCTTGTTCTTTTGAAATCAGCCTCAACTTGCCAATACCATTCTTTCTATCTTGGCTAAGTATTTCTCCAATATGCCACCAAAATATTTTTGGGGGGCTGGGACCAACTATATCTTGATAAAATGAACTAGAGAAACATTGCTTATTTTACTTACAAGGATAGGAGTGATGCTAGCTCTTGTCAGCATCTGTTTTACAAGCCTGTATCTATCATAGAGAGGTTTAACAATGTGCCTTTCTTCCCTTGTCACCTGAAGCCAAAGAAAAAGGGAAGTCACCTAGTCATCAGAAATCTAACATTAAGTAATATGACCCCCCAATTTAAAAGTTTACATATAATAAGTAGGTAATCTCTCAAATGTAGGAAACAATGTACAAAATAGCTCTGAAGAATACAGGCCATAAAAGTGGTTGATGCTCTTTTTAAGACAGAAAATCAAATCTTTTTAGCAAAACAAACATTACCGGCCTTCCATGTTGACTCTCATAATAAAGAAGACTTTTCTGGAGAGAAGTTTTCTCTTCCATCAAATGATCTTTCGTCATTTTCTAGAATTAGGGGGGGAAAACTGACATCATTATTCTTCTTCTCCTCCTTTAGTGTAACTATAGACCACTACCACCTCTAAGACTAAAAATGCATTCTTTATGGATTTGCAGGCAATATTTTTCAGTCTCCTACGGAATTTGGTCTTTTTTTTTTTTTTGGTACTGGGGATCAAACTCATGACCTCCCACTTGTCAAGCAGGAGCTTGTGCCACAGAACTAAACCCCCAGCCCAGAATTTGGTCATCTAATATGTAGGTGCCAACCCCCTTTGATGGCTTGATTTGTATTTTATTTGAGTAAGGTAGGAATACTGGCTTGGGTAAGTTACTTAACTTCCTCATGTTCAATAACCCTATGGGAATTACTTTATTCCACCTCAAATGGTTTGAATGATGACTAAGTTTTCATATATATATATCCATCCATGACTACCACCCAACACACAGTAAGCACATATAACTCTGTTATTTTACTTAAATGTTTCAGTCTGTACACACATACTCCACAGATATGCACAAGTTATAACCCAATACGTCTCCTAAGCTATTAAGGAAATTCTATGGCAATCGAATGGAAAGATCTGAGAAAAAGCTCAACAATGAAAGCTTAGTAATGTCAACTTGTGACTTTAGACTTCTCCATGACCTGGTTTCATCTGTGTAGGTATATTCTTTATACAGCAATATATGTATCATCTCTCTCAGAATTATAAATGATGCAATAGACAAAACTTTCAAATTTATTTGCCCACAGATCCTTTTCCTTTATGCCAACGTGATCACCTACTACCACCTCAATGAACCAACGTTCCACAGAATACCTTTCAGCTGTGTCAAAATTGTACTTGTTTTTAGGATTGATACTCTCTCATCTCTCACCAGAATGAAATTAGAGATTTAAAAAAAATTCACTGGACAGTATCTTCTTGTAACAAATATCACTTTATATATAGTGGGCCAACTCACCACTGCCTAAATAGAAGTTCATCTGAAACTGTTTACCTCCCCACTTCCTCAGTAAATCATGATTTGGATTGCCAAGTGCTTTGACTGGCAATGTCTTAGGCACAGGCTTTACTGAGTAATAGTTCTTCAAATAACTTGATTCATTGTCCTGTGGATAGTGCTTATTGTAGGATGGCACTTACCTAGTTGCATGAAGCCAACAAGCCCTATGTTTAATTCTCAGCACCACCAAGAAAATAAAAAATCCAAACAAAAATAGAACTCTACTTAACAACAGTTAGTGTTTTTTAATAGACACAATCATATCTATGCACATCGTAGGGTTGTTGAAAGACTGAGTTGCAGAATATATATAATGTAACCTGTCAATATCTGGCATAAGCTAAGCACTCAATACATATAACTACCAGATTTAAAATTTAGCAGTTTCAAACTCTTGACATGCTCATCTTGCCAACTGCCTCCTATGTAAAAGAACCAGTCAGGACCCTAGGTTTTGTTTCACTATGAATCAATGCCAGAAAGATTTGGTATGTATTTCCAGTGTGTTGAAAAAAGGCTTATTTCTGCATCTGCGAATTTGTCTCTATCCTACTACAGTTACTATTTGTTGTCAGGGATTCTAAAAGTTTACCTAGACAAAAGTCTTAGTCCAACATTACCTTGATATCTTCTGGAAGACATCTCTCAACACGTTTTTCCTTCAGTTTTTTCAGAATAAATTCAAGGGTTGCTTCTTTAGATGGTTTTTTCTCCTTCTGAACGGCTCTGGGTTCTTCCTCACTTGCTTCACCTTCATGGTCTAGAGAAGAGCCAAAACTTTTTGGAAGAGTGTTACTCCGTGGACGGGCCTGAGGTACAAACTCTCCATCAGAGCTTTTGGGTTTTGCGTCTAGATTTCAGAAAAAAAGAAGACTGATTAATAATAACAGTTTTAGCAAGTATATATTAACAATATCATAGGCTCAGATATTTTAAAGTCACATAAATCATTTAAATTATATATGCAACAAGAGAGCCATTCTATTCCATCAGTAATCACAGAATACCTACAAAGGAAGGCACTGATGAGCACTGGAGATACAGCCATAAACAATACATCTGTCCTGTTGTCATGCAGCATATATTCAGGGCAGGAAAATCAACAATCAAACAATCAGATAAAAAAAAATGAAATAATTTCAAATAATACCAAATGCTATAAAGATTCATTCTCCCTATGATGAATGTGATCATTATGTATACCAATAAACCTAAACAATTAAATAAATAGATTCATCCTGTCCATAACAGTATAGAGTCAAAGATACTCTGTGGGGAGTAACTTCACTAGACGGAATTGATGAGGACTTTTAGTGTCATTCCAGCTGAGGATAGAATAACAAGGAGCTGATCTAGTAATTTGATTTAGGGGGAAAGCATTCATCTCCAATTGAGGCAACAGCCCATGCAAAACCCTAAAGCTTTGTATAGCTGAGGAACGGAAATGAGAGACTATAAAGTATAGGTAAGGTGTGCAAGGCCTTGAAAACCTGGTAAAGAGTTTGGAAACTGCATTTGGAACTTAGGCAGCTGCACAAGAAAGCAATTTGCCTGCCCTCCTGATAAGCTCCCCTGATGCTGGCCAGGAGAAGAACCAGAAGCGGCCACCCAAGACCCAGCCATATTGGGATTTAGGCAGCTGCACAACAAAGTGATTTGCCTGCCCTCTTGTTAAGTACCCCTGGTGCTGGCTAGGGGAAGAACCAGTCAGCTGTTCCTGTCCCTACCCCACCCTGTCAGCAACTGGGCACAGAGTTCCTTAGCATCTCTTGGGAGAATGCAATATAGCAAATAAGGGTGATTTCCTTCTAATGTTCTGTTTCAAGGAAAAGGTTATTTTCACTGTTATGTTTTGTAATGATTGTTATGCTGTATTCAATATTCTCCTTCAATTGGTTTTACAGTGGTCTGTTATTGATTTCTCTACACCTAATTGACTGGACAAATACTGTGAAGATAACAAGATATACTATACTACCTATTTCTACTATCCCAGTATCCTGCTTTGAAGTTCTGTACCAGTGTCACTACATTGTCTTGAATGGCTTTGTTTCATCTTTTCTATTGAATTTTTACTACATTCTAAATAAAAATTAAAAAAAAAAAAAAACTGCCAGGCATAATCCCAACAGTAGGGAGGCTGAGAAAGGAAAATCTCCGAATTCGAGGCCATCCTGGTCAACAAAGTGAGTTCAAGCCCAGCCTGAACTACTAAGTGAGAACTTGTCTTTAAAAAAAGAAAAAAAAATTTTTTTCTATTAAAAAAAAAAGTTTGAAAAAAATAAAAAGCTTGGAAATTAGAGCCACTGTATTTCCTTTTGTGTGGTGGTCTGCTCTCACACTGCAACGGGTGCTTCTTTTCCTACTTTTATTTGGCTCAAACTTGCTATGCAGAGCCTGTTTTATTCCTACTTTTAATAAAACTGTGCTACCATGGAAAAAGAAAGTTTGGAAACTGGAAAGCTCACTGAAAGCCTTTCATAAGAGAGTAACACAATTCTTTAGGAGATAATTTAAGATGTGCGTGGTGGTGCATGCTTGCGGTGATCCTAGCACTTGGGAGGCTGAGGAAGAGGGCTGAGTAATGATTTCAAGTCCAGCCTGGCTACACAGTGAGTTTAAGACTGGCCTGAACTGCATAACAAGACCCTGTCGCAAAACATGTGAAAAAAAAGAACAAAGGGAGAGAATGAGGGAGAAAGAAAATCCTCAACTAGGACAGTAACAGTGGAAGAAAACTGGGAAATCATAAGGATAATGTTAGTCAATAACTTAATGCTGGAAATACATTTAAACAAGGAAATGCTTAACAAAATTGTAGGGGAAAATAATCTAAAAGAGGGGCAGGAGATTTAGCTCAGTAGCATAAGCACCTGCCCTGCAAGCATGAGGTCATGAGTTCAATCCCAGGTACCAAAAAAGAAAAAGAAAAGAAAAATCTTAAATTAAAAGAAATTCTCTTGATCTCAAGAATGCAAATTTTATAATGGAATATTTGAGTACGTGACACTGAAGAGATATTAAAAGTTCTATATAATAAATTCAAATGAATAAACCAAGTGGTGATCCAGATTATAAATGTATGCCTGCCACATGACTATTAAATTAATAATTGTCTAAGAACATATTCACTACATATCCTCAAAAATGCACTTTAGAAACTACTCCATTGGGCACTGAGCTGACATCCAGAAGTTCAATATCTAGTTTCTGATTCAAGAGTTAAAATTTAGTTTTGTAACAACAGACAATTCACTATGATTTTCTCCTCATCCCAACCCCACCCCATACCAGGCACAGGGCTTTACATGTGCTACATGCTATCTGGGTATCCTACACTGTGCTGTGCTCTCAGATCTGACTACATAACCTTAGCCTCGGATAAACTACTCATCGAAAATGCTAATGAAATATCTACTCCAAACCAAAATTACTTAGTATCTGGAGTATATTTCAGTCAACCTATATAGTATCAGTTTACCTAGGAATACAGATGATCCAGGGCACATTTCAAAATAGCTAAATAAAAACTACTGGGTGTGGTGGCACAAGCCTGTAATTCTAGCACTCAGGAGGCTGAGGCAGGAGGATTGCTGCGAGTTCAAGGCTACCCTGGGCTACAAAGAGGTCAAGGCCAGCCTGAACTACATAGTAAAACCTGTCCCAAAAAGACAGACAGACAGAAGAAAAAAAAAAGTATATCTGAAAAAAGTTTAGTACTATAAATTCCCCATTCTTAGTATGCAGGGTAGTCCTTAACTAGTAAAAGAGCAAAAGGAAATTTTTTTGTTGGCTTTTTAAGACGGTCTCACTATGGAGTTCAGGCTGTCTTTGGACTGCCTCAGCCCCAAGTGCTGCGATTATAGGCATGTGCACCATGCTCAGTCAAAAGGAAACTTTTTATTTTTGTCCAAAATACCCAGGATTTAAAATCAGTAGCAAAAAGTAGAATAAAACAAAACCTGCAACAATTTGTGAGTCAATAAAACTCTATTAATAATTTTTTTTTTTGTACCTAGAATTGAACTCACAACCTCATGCTTGCCAGGCAGGCACTATGCCACTAAGCTACATCCCTGGCCCAACTAATTTTTCTTAGTTATCAAAAATCGTAACTGTAACTCTCATACATTACAAAAAGAACATTTTAGAAACAAAAATACATTACAAAATGGCACTTTTTTATACCTTTGATTTGCTTCCGCAGTTTGGTAAGCTCTGTCATCCATTTTAACACCTTTGGGTTGGCTGCAATATCACTGTAGGAAGGCTAAACATGGAGCAAAATCAATGACATTTTTGGGGTAAGCAGTGGTTATGTTATGCCTTGATAGTACTTTATTCTCAAAGTATAGATTGTATTCAAACCTTGTTTTAAATAGGCAGAATATTAAGGAAAAGCTCTCTGAGGTAGGTCAGAAAACTAGCAAATTTAAACACGGGTCTTTTGTCTTCAAGTACAGCACTTTCTGTACCTCACATATTCGAAGTAAATGCATACTCTTTCTCTCTTATATTCCTTTCTCTTGCTCCTTCCCTATTCTCCTTGGTATTTGTGATCTTTGGTACAGTAGAGAAATAGCAATAATAGGATTTGTTAATGTACAGAATTTGCTTTAAAAATCTAACAGCTTTTTTATTTTTTTGGTACCAGGGCTCAAACTCACAACCTCACATTTGCCAGGCACTTATGCCACTGAGCTAAATCCCTGGCCTCTTAACAGCTATTTTGTCAATGTTCCAAAGACAAGAACACTGGTCTAGAAATCAAGGGCTAAGAAGGTACTTGCTCTTAGATCTATAGGATCATTCCTTCTCCAGGCCTCTCAGATTTGTTATTGTCTTAAAGAAAGAGCTCAACTAACATTCTCTGAAGACCTCCCTCCTAGTTCTACTATTAGATTTAGATTAATTTGGGCAAAGTTACAAATTTACCTTGCTATTCTTTTCCCTTTCAAACTGCTCCTCAAATTGTCTAATTCTTTTCTGAAGTTTCTTGACCAGCTGATAAGGTGTTCTGTCTTCTCTTTTTTCATCTTTAGTACTAAAGGATGATCTTCGAATCCTGAATTAAAATAACAGGCCAACAATATGTATTAAATTTTAAAGCATCAATAACATATCTCTTAGCCAGGCATGATGGTGCATACTTGCAATCTCAGTACTTGGGAGGCTGAGGCAGGAGGATTATCATGAGTTCAAGGCCAGCCCAGCCTATATAGTGAGTTCAAGGCTACCCTAAAGTACATAGCGAGACGCTGTCTCAAAAGAAGGAAAAACATGTCTCTCACTGTCCCAATAGAACACTATCACCAGTTAACTATAGTACCTTGAAAGTGAAGTTAAGGCTGTAAGACTGAAGTAAAAAAAAAAATTATGTTGCTATAGACTACAAAATTAACACTACTTATGTTTAAACTGCATAGAAAAATCAGAACTAATTTTAAGACCTGGATAATAATAGGAGTTATCTCTCTCTCTCTTTTTTTTTTTTTTTTTTGTCTTTTTCGTTTTTACCGGTACCCGGGATCGAACTCATGACTGCCTGCTTGCAAGGCAGGCACTTATGCGGCTGAGCTAAATCCCCAGCCCCAGGAGTTATCTCTTGATAAGGTCATAAAAGTCATATACCTAGCATAAGAAAGTGCTTTAGATGAGGAATTCAGTGTTTCTGGATCATGTAGGAAACGCTGGCTTTGCCCAAAATCTAAACTGCGATGTGATAATACTGGAGGACAGTCCTCTTCCAGGGGATGATGATTCATTCTTCCAGCTTGTGGAGACAGCTGAGCTTCTCCAGACTCAGAGTCTTCCTGCCAAGACTTAAATGCAGGAAATGGCTCTGTAAACAAACACACAGAATAGTACGATGGGTCTCTTAATCCTACATGGAAAAAAGGTCACAAAATATCAGCCATATGTTCTTTAAATCCTATCATAATGCAGTAGTTCATGTATTTGTCACATATTTTTTGATAGGCAAAAAAATACACTGGATCTTCATAATCGTCATAATGCTTACAATAATTTAAAATTATCCAAGCTTCTTTTCTTAGCCAGAGTTCTATTTTCATATAAGGAGCTATAACTTCAAATTTCTGAATCCAGTGGCAAAGCACAAAAAGACACTGTCAAGCTCATTAAAATTTAATTCTAAAGATGCCACTTAACCTAATTCTAACTTAATAGTCTAAAAATGTTACATAGAAAAGTTTCTTTCTTTCCGTCTTTCTTTTTCCATCTGTGTTAGGGTTCTCTACAGGAAAACTACTTTTCAAGTAGAAGTGTTTATTTAGAAAAAGTGAACACTCTACAGTCCTTAGTAATTTAACTGTGAAGTCAAATGCTTCCAAGTGAATAAATTTTCCTTCACTATTAAGTGGCTCTAGTTAAATGTGGATGCTCCTGCCCATGCTACACAGAAAAAAAAAGGAGCTCCCTGACTCCAGAAAAATTCCAGCATTTCAAAAGGAGGATCTAACAACTCCCTGTTAGGACTTGCCTCTCACATTAAATTGGTGGTTTATCTTCAGATACAAGATTCTCATGTGCAATACTTATTTTAATAATACAGCAATATAATTGACACAAACCTTAACAGCCCTAGTCTTAAGCACATTTATTCACCGAAGTCAGCTTTCAAATGAAACCACGCTAATGTAAATGATGTCATTGCACAAGAAAGATTTGATTACATACACAACATATACAGATCATACACACAATCCACAAATATACTCCAAATACATGATTAAGTATAACTGGAGTACAAGGAAGGAAGGGAAAAAACAAAAGAAAACCAAAAAACTTTCCTATCTATACCTTAGTTTATTTAGAATTAAAATTTAAAGCTTTGATGCTATTGCTATTAACAATAGCAAAAATGAAAAGATGGCTTGACAGTGTCAAAATTCCAAAGTGATTTTTTTCTTTTTCACACAATAGTTAACACTGCTGCTTTAGTAGTTTTTATGCATTAGTAACTTAAAGCATTACCTTCTTCAACAGTAAGGACAAAATTTAGTTTGTTTTTGAAGTTAATCTGATAACTAAAAATTAGGTACAAAGCGTGCAACCCCACTGTAAACCCAGCAATAAAGTGATTTCAAAGCAACCCTTGTACCTGCGTCCCAGCAAATAAATAATCAGTAATGAACATTTACAATAAACCTCCTGTTTTAAGAAATGAAAGAAATAACAAGAATTCTTTTTTCTGGGTATCATTTTCAACCCAAAGTTTTCCTACAATTTGGGGACAGCAGGAGAAGGGCTAATAAACAAAGTGAACCATAAAAAATAAGAAAACTAAACTATGGTGAACCATACTTACCCTCCCCATCTCTCTGCAGATGCATTGTTTTGAAATCAATGAGGGGAAAAGTGATAGGGCATGACGCTAATAAAATGGAAAAAAATGGCAAAAAATACTAAAGTGAACACACAGCACAGTCAGAACAAACCATACACATAACACAAAGCCAAAGATACCAAAAACATTTCCCTAAAACCAGTTAGACATTCTGCTCTAAAACTTTATTTAAGGAAATTAAACCGAAGTTTAACACAAAGATACATTTCCGTTTCAGCAAGACAAGCAAGAAAAAAGAAAACAGTACTGTTTTATTAAAACTCAAACATAAGAGTAGAGAAACGAAACTCTTAATGACATTCTACTTAAAGCTTTTAAGTGTAACATCTAACAGAAAAAAAGCTCACTGATATTCGGACTCTCAAAAGATACTACACAGTTTACAGGAGAGAATCTGAAGAAAAGATGGCTTCTACTTCTACTACCAAGACATTTTGAACAGCAGTTACAAATTTGCACTGGTGGTAGTCATGTGCTACTACTTGGTAACTATGTTCTGCCACTCACCCTTTGAAGAAAGTAAAAAAACAATACATACCAGGCAATAGTAAGGTGCTCCTTAATTCAGAGTCATCCCTACTACTAGGCATCATGTCAAACAAAATGTTTCTCAGCCTGGCATGGTGGTGCACACCTGAAATCCCAGCACATTGCAAGGCTGAGGCAGGAGGACTGAGTTTTCAATCCCAGCCTGATGAACTTAGCTACTGAATGGTTCTCAAAGTTTAAAAAAAAAAAAGAGCTGGGGATGTAGCTCAGTGTGAAGGTCCTGGATTCAATCCCCATTTCCACCAAAATATTTCATGAATAACGTAAATCTCTGATTCCAAAATATCCAAAGTTAAGTAATTTATTTTCTTAAAAGACTTTCTGAACTTAGACCATGCTGACACTTCATTATGGAATATCAACGTTCATATTGATGACAAAGTTGGAGGGAACAACATGGTCTACTGACAGCTACTGCCCTATGCACATATGGCCCATAGCTGGGAAAGTCACTCAGCTACCTACCACTCTTGCCTTTCTGAAAGTCACTGGGTCCTACCACTGCCCTGGAAAAGCGAGCAGGAGGATTTGTCATGAGTTCTGAGTCAGGTGGATAATATGGAGGCTCAGGGATTGAAAGAAAGTCTGGAATCAGTAGTCTACAAGTAACCTCCTTTTCCTACAACAAGGTATAGGGGTTAAATAAAAAGAAAAAAGCCCAGTGCTCACTCTGGGGGAGCATCCAGGAAGCTGAAGCTAGACAGACACTGCCAATCCCCTCAAACAACAGAAAACAATTGCTCTCTATTGTTAAAACTTATCAGACCCCCAGCCAAAGATACACTACTGTTTATCTGCATCTTCTATGTGTAAAGAACAGAAGTGCTTTATCAGCATAACAACTTCATCTTCCAAACTCTTTTCTGACATGGTACCAAGGGATGTTCTGTTAACCACTGCTATGTTCGTTAACCACTGCTCCTTTTCAATGATGCCTCAAAAAATAACTAAAAAGGTCATTTGGATTTCATTGTCACCAGTATGTTCACATATCCTCTAGCCCCAAGGAGCTTTTTCATAAATTCCAAATGTCTTGAATAACCAGATCAAAGCAAACAAAAGGTAACTTCCTAGCTTGACATGGTGGTACACATCTGTAATACCATTTACCTGGGAGGCTGAGGCAAGAGGATTTTAAGTCTAAGGCCAAACTGGAGAAGTTAGTAAGAGAAAAAGAAAAGAAAAGAAAGGGTGAGGGAAGGAGAGAAAACAAGAGAATGCAAAAGATAACAAAGATGGGAAGAAAAAGGGAGGGGAAAAGGAAAGAGAAAGAAGGGAAGGAGAGGTGAAGGGAAGAAAAATAAAGGAGAATGAAAAGGAAAAAAAAAAGAAAGACAACTCCCTAAGTCTGAGTTAAAGATACACAATATGCAAGTGGATGTGCTAATACCTGAACCTCAGAAAGGCAGGAAGAGGACAGCAATAAAGATTGGTACAAACATGACTTGGTTGGAGACATTTTATGCCTGGACCATAACACATTCATATTCCTATATTCTTGCTCTCAGACCAGTGAGTAGACTTATCAAAGAAGCCCATTACAATAGCTCTGCAATTCTTGCTGATGCCACAAGCCAGGGATCTACATCCAGGGGTACAGAAACATAACTTAAGATTCCTGAGTCATCTCATTTTTAATTTAGAGAAAGGTATATGATCCAGAAACTTTGGCTCCAAATTTGTTGTTAATTTGTCTCTTCCAATATTTTACTTTTCAATGTTTTACATTAAATTTTACAAAAATATAGCAAATTTTAAAGAATTTTACAGTCAGCATCCAAATTACTAATTACCTAAACTCTGCAAGTAATATTAACACTGCTTTATAAAATCTACTTCATTAACCACTTTTTTCTTCTTGATTTTAAAATGAACTGTAGATGTATTAATTTCTCATAAACAATTTCTCATAAGCACACAAGTCATTCATCTCTGGCTTTTCAGATTCTCTTAATGTAAAAAAGAAAACTTTATGAACAATAAAATGTAAAAATCTTAAGTGTACATTTGCCAAGTTATGAGAAATGCAAATACCCGGGGCTGGGGATTTAGCTCAGCGGCATAAGCGCCTGCCTTGCAAGCAGGCAGTTGTGAGTTCAATCCCCGGTAAAGACAAAAACAAAAAAATGCAAATTACCAATGTTGCTTGCTTGTTAAATTTAAACTTCTTTCTTTTGTAAAACTTGTTAGGGTCACTCCATCACACTTTTGCTTAGTCCAGAGACAAACGATATGATACAATCTATTTACAGGTGTCCTGGAAGATCACTTTTTTAAAGAAGTTTCCCTGCTATTTGTAAGAAAAGGTACTATACTACTAAAGCCCATCTGTTTAAACCAATTAAAATTCTCAAGCCCTAGCAGACTGGATTTTCAAAGACTGGCAGATAGCATCTGGCTTAACCATTAACAAAAGCCTATGTAAGACGTTTAATTCTAAATCTGTTTTCAAAGCTAATGGATCAGACAGGCAAGCTGAAGTTCATATGGGATAACTGCTCCCATAATCTTGTTAGTGTACCTGAGTAAAAACACTCATTCACTCACTCATATGAAAAGAAGAACGGAAGATTAAGACAAACATGGTTGTCCAAAAAAGGACAGAAGTCTTCTAACTTCTTTGGGAAGTTTCAGTTATAAGTAACAGCATCAGGGAAACGATGTGTGTGGTAAAATTACCTTCCCATTTATCACCATCAGAAGCATTCTTCAGATCTAAATGTGGGATTTGGATACATGCTGCTTCCCCTTGAACACCAACACTTTGACCTCCTGGCACTTCTGATCCAGTGTTGGCATTCAAGTCACGTATCTTGCTACTAGATTCCTGTATTTTAAAATAAAAAACATATTTCACAACCATGAAACTTTTTAGACCCAGCTTAAAGCCAATTTGTACATATCTTTGTTGATTTTGGGGTGATGATGGTACTGGAGATTGAACCCAAAGCCTTATACAAAATAGGCAAACACACTACTCCTAGACTACACCCCTAGTCTTTTTTTTTTTATTAGTGAAGGTTTGCAGTACAAAATGAATATATGCACTGTGGTAATTGCTATAGGTACATGACACATCTTAATTCTTTTTACATCCCTCTTCCCATCACTTGGTCCCCCCTAGACTGCCTGCCATCTCGATTCCCTTTCCATTTGCAAAAGATTTATCTCCCTGTTTCCTATTATGTCTTTTATTTTGTTCTTTTTATTTATACTTTGAGTTTCTCATGTAAGAGAAACCATATGATATTTAAGCCTATGCCTCTGATTTGTTTCACCTAACATTATTGATCTCAAGGTGCATCTATGTCCTACAAATAACTCTTAATTTCTTCTTTGTGGCACAGCAGAACTCCATTGTGTATCTATACCACATTTTATTTATCCATCATTTGTTGATGTGCATACAGGCTGCTTCCAAGATTTAGCAATTATGAGTTGTGCTGCTATAAACATGGGTATGTATGTATTACTGTAACACGTGTTTAACTTTTGCAAAGACACCTACAAGGGAAATAGCTGCATCAAATGGGTTTTCTACTTTTAGTTCCTTCAGTAATTTCCATACTGACTTCCATGGTAGATTACTAGTTTATATTCCCACCAACAAAATGGGAGAGGTTTTTTTGGTTTTTTTGCTGTAGCCTCACCAGCATTTGTCATTATTTGATTTCTTGATGACTGCCATTCTTTCTGGAGTAAGATGGAATTTCAGTGTTGTTTCAATTTGCATTTCTCTAATGCCCAGAGGTGCTGAACATTTATATGTTGGCCATTTTTGAGAAGTATCTATTCATTTCAGCTTCCCATTTTTTTGATTAGGTCTTTTATTTTGAGGGGGTCTAATTTTTTTGAGTTCTTTATATATTTAGAAATCAACCCTCTGATGTGGCTGACAAATATTTTTCCATTCTGTAGGTTGTCTTTATTCTGTTGGTTGTTTCCTTTGCTCAGCCATTTTTTAATTGTTTTAATTTAAGACAGGGCCATTCTAAATTGCCCAGGTTGGTCTAAACTTGCAATTCTTTTGCCTCAGCATATCAAGCAGCTGGGACTACAGCACGCACCACCACATCTGGCCCTGGTATAATTTTTATTAGTTTACTGTGCTTATATAACCAATTATCACACTCCCACCATCTGAACTATTTTTAAATATAAATCTGCAGGGTTTTTGCTTTGATTTTGTTTTCTGGCAACAGGGTCTCACTATATAGTCCAGGTTGGGCTCAAACTTGCAGCAATCCTCCTGCCTTAGCATTCAGAGTGCTGGAATCACAGGTATGTGCCACCATACCCGGCTTAACTTCCAAGTTTTTTTTTATTTTTGAGACAGGGCCTAGTTATGAAGTTTAGGCTAGCCTTCAGCTTCCTTTATAGCCCAGGTTGGTCTCAAACTCACAATGATCCTCCTTCCTCAGCCCGAGTGCTGGGTAAACCTGCAATTTTATAGTATGTGTTATTGAGCAACAAAGTTGAATCTCAGATTCATTAAATTATTTTCATGACCAAGAATTCTGTAACCAAAAATGACAAATTATGTTGCTTCTTAACAGTTGGTTAGAGTATTTATATTTACAGCTCCTTTAAACATATCTAATTCAAGAGTTAAAGGCCAGATACAATACTGATTTATAAACCTAACTTTTTTAAGAACCATAAAATGAAAATAGCTCTTACCAGACCCAAGTGCAACAATTTATCACTGTCAAATACCAAATATTCTTTCCTAAAAATACAAGTAAAGTTATTAGTGTATTGAAAATTAAAAAGCTACTATTATTACATATTTCTTTCCTAGATCACTCTCTTCCCCAACAAAGACAGCATTTAAAATGTGGAATGAAAAAACAACTGGGCTTATGCCCATTCTTTGGAGCCCTGTATCTGAAAATCACAATACTGAAAAGATCCACAGAATCACTTCAGATTTAGAAAAATTAAGCAATGCTCCCCACACCCAACACAAACCACCTCCGAAATAAGCTTCTATAAAATTAAAATCTACAACCTAAAAGTACAAATGCTTAATGGAAAAGATTTTATCAAATAAATATTTAGTTTTAACCCAGTCACTATTTCCCCCACTGAGACTTAAAGATTTTTTTTTAAAAAGTTGTACTTATATCTTTTATTTTATTTTTCTATGTCTTTTATTTTAAATCTGATTTACTGAAAGGTTATACTGTAATCAAAGATGAAGAGACTGAAAACGTACACTGTAGATACAATCTTTGGACATTGTATGCAAAGTGTTTAGTGCTCTACATGTGCCTAAGAAATCTTAGAAGTGTTACTAAAATTAAAATATTTAAAAAGGTATTCCTCCAGAAAAGTAAAGCCCTAGTATAGACAAGTGTTCAGTAAACTGTCATAAATGATCTCTACATATCTGACCAGTCACTACAGTGTCAGCTATTACATAGTAGGTTATAAATATGGCTATGTGGGAAAGTTCTTGTTCCCAAAGAAAGGTGTGGTAATTTAGAATAAATCTACCTCTTCTAACTGGCCATATAACAGTGCGAAACAAAAGAGAGAGCTTGATCCACCAATGGTAGGTCATCTCATATACATAATTACTGTGCTCTTGCTGCTGAACAGTTCCCTGACAAACTCAAGGCCTTTCTTTTGCTTGAGCTGGGAATAAATAAGATGAATAGATGCTACCTTAGCAGACTAAAAACCTAGTCAACTAAATTGAGAAACATGAGTCTTAAACATGCAAAATGCAATCCACTGACCAAGGAATTTTTTGGATCTAAAAATAAGTTTGCTAACCTATACACAAGTCGAAGAAGAAAGAGGTTTTTCCAAAAAGATTCAATCCTCACTAAATGGATCCTTATTGTTCTATTAAATCCAGATGTCATCATTCTGGGGATGCCTGTCAATGTTGTTTATCTTATATCTTCAGCCCATAGCTCCAAAACTCCCTGGGCTAGAAGAGGATCATTCCTACCTCCTGAAAGGAAGCACAAGGATCTGCTGTAAGCAGGAAATCTGTGGACCTTCAGAGTATGGGACACTCCAGAGACACGGCTCCAAAGAATTTACTTACCCTCAGACAACAGGCTTCCTACTCATTAGGAAGACAGACAATAGCAGTAATAGAGTTTATCCTATTAGTCAGTAGACTATCAGCAAATTAGTAATTTCAGATCTATCAATATTTACACCTGAGTCCACAATTACTAATGTATTTTCCAAATATCAATTCATCTTTCTTAAGTAAGCTGTAATACATTTTTTTTGGAGACAGAGTCTCATTATGTAGTACAGAATGGCCTCAAACTTGCAGGAATCCTTCTGCCTCAGTCTCCCAAGGGCTAGGATTACAGTCGTGCACCACTACACCCGTCTGTGATACACATCGTCTTTCAAACAATGCAAAAAATAACAAGACCCAAATCCTACCCAGTGAGTTACTCTAGGAAGCTTGTACTCAAAAAGATTCTACCTAGGCTGGGATTGGTGGCACACACCTGTAATCCCAGCACTTGGGGGATTTAGTTCCAAGCCAACCTGGGCTACATAAACAAGTTTACCCTATTATTGTGTATTGAGAGTATCCATGTAGTTGAAACTTCATTGCTGCACACATCTCTCCCCCTGTAACATAACTGGCCAAGCAGGTAAACAAATACTAACTGCATTAAGATTGTACTGGAACACATAAAGATTTTTTCAAAGAAGTAGAAAAAACAGGGCTGGGGATTTAGCTCAGCGGCATAAGTGCCTGCCTTGCAAGCAGGCAGTTGTGAGTTCGATCCCCAGTACCGGTAAAAATGAAAAAGACAAAAAAAAAAAAAAAGAAGTAGAAAAACATCCTATATAATAATCTTTTTTTTTCTGGGGGGGTGGTGGTGGTGGTTTGGTACAAGAGATTGAACCTAGGGCTTTTGCACTAAGCTACATTCCCCAGCCTTTTTAGTTTTTATTTTTGAGGTGGGGTCTCACTAAGTAGAGTCCAGGCTGGGCTAGAATTTGCACTGTTCTTGCCTTAGCTTCTCTGAAACTTGGGATTACTGTCATAGACCACCATGTCTGCCTTGTAATCTTTGGCTAGTTAGCCATAGTTCCAAGACTTCACTGGTAGGTATGCACAGAATATCAATAAATTTCTATCTGTTCTATAAATCAACTAAAATGTCTTAGGTGTCTCCAAGAAGGCTGTATTTTTCCCCCTCTGAATATTTTCCAAATTATAACTAATGTCTGTTTAAAGCTGTGAAACTGAGTATTTGTGGACTCAATAAGCTTCATGCCTTTCATTAAAGTAAAAAGCATGAAAAATTTTTTTAAATATTACCTAAACTATTGTTATAATGGACAGATTCATCTAAGAATTTCACCCCAGAATCTGTGAAAAGTTCCAGTTCTTAAAGTGATTTGTTAGCAACAAGAGCAATGCTTACCTCCCAAGACAGCTGTCACCAACGTCACCGTGGTCACTGCACGGCTCTAACAGTATACTTGCAGACTGGCAAAGAAAACATCACCACTGTTAATGGAGCCCCCAGCACTCACATGAAAGTTCCCAATCGAAATGGAAGGAGTAGACTACAGGTTGGCTGAACACATCTGTCTCTCATTTATAACAGCCTGTAGGAATTGGCATCTCTTTTCGTAGAGAATAACTTATCTTGGTTCAAAATGTGAATCATATTTAGTATTGCAGAGAGCCTCATTCTTTCTACTCTATTGGGTGACAGGTCCTGCCATTATCATCTTTCCTTATTAGAATTCTCTGCTTCAAAAATGATAGTATATATATACTGGGGATCAAACTCACGACCTCGTGCTTGCCAGGCAGGCGCTTATGCCACTGAGCTAAATTCCCAGTCGCCAAAAATGATATTCTTCTGAGCCCACTTACACACTGTAGCTTGCCGTGTTTCCTCTCAGCCCACACAAACAACCTGGTGACTTATCTACAGGAAAGAATAGTTTGGGAAGCTTCACCAGATTTCTTTCTTATGTACACTGTTTTCCACACAAGGGAATCCTTGTGACTCCCAGATGACAGCCATCTCCTTCCTCTTGGATGTCTACTAGTTTCCAAAATACTTCTGAACTCCTCTTTGGAAAAGAGGTAACTATATTCCAGGAGTTTCTCAGTGCTCACCATACATGAATAATTCTAACTTTTAGAGAGCACTATCAATGAAGGTGCCCTAAAGTGGATACATTTTAAGGAAAATTTACTCATAAACCCTGCAATTTTGGAATATTATCTCTTTGTTGGAGACAGGGTCTCATTAGGTAGTTTCGGCTTCCCAAGTGCTGGGACTACAGGCATGTGCCATCTTGCCCTGTCAGAAGTATTTTTAGAGGTTGGGGTTTTAGCTCAGCGGTGTTAAGTGCCTGTTTGGCAAACATGAGGTCATGAGTTCAATCCCTGGTACCAAAAAAAAAAAAAAAAAGTATTTTTAAAAAGAAACAAATAAGTTTATAATCTCAGGATAGGGAAGGCCTTTGTAATTATGACATAAAATCTAACCTCAAAGCCAAACGTTTTGGCCCATCCCTATAATTCCAGATACTCAGGAGAGAGGTAGAAAGATCACAAATTCAAGCTCACCCTGAGTAACTAAACACCATCTTGTCTCAAAAATAAAAAAGGGCTGGGATGTAGCTTGGTGGTAGGGTTCCCTCTAAAGAAAGAGAAGGGGAGAGGCGGGCAGAGGAAGGGTTGAGAGATGATCTTACAAAAAAGAAACAAAAAAAAATCACAAAGTGAGTACTACCAAAAACGAACTTGGAGAAGTCAAAAGATAGCTAATTGAAAACAAAACAAAAATGCACAACAAACTGAAAACAAATATTCGTAAAGGAGCATTTTCTTAATAAATCAAAAAGGAAAAATCCAAATCAACCAATAGATAAAGGTACAATGTCTATGGGCAATTGAAAATAGAAAAGACTCAGGTTTTTTAATTTTGGGGGGGTAGGGTGGGGAGGGGAGTACTGGGGATTGAACTCATGACCTTGCAAGTGCCAGGCAGGCACTTGAGCTGCTGAGCTAAATCCCTGGCAAGACTCAGTATTTTTATAAAAATGTCAATAGAAATTAAAACCATAATTTATAAGTTTCGCTTACCAGATTGTAATAAAAAAATTTGCTATTGGTTAGGTGATAGTGAAATAGGTACTCTAAGGCATCAGTAGTGATAGTTCAATGGAGAACAATTTGATAATATAAATAAAATTACAAATGTATATACTTTAGGACTCAAAAATTCTACAGATTTATAGAACAAGGTTAATAGGTTAGAACAAGGTGGAAGAGTGTATGTACTATACAATGCTCTTCAGTGAGCAATTATTAGTACAGAACAATATTTTTTGTTTTGTTTTTTGTGATACTTGGGGTTGAACCCAAGATAATATGTACACTAAGGAAGTATTGTATTTAGCACCGAGCTATACCCCTAGTCCTTTTTATCTTTTGAGACAGGGTCTTGTTCAGTTGTCCAGACTGGCCTCAAACTTTAGACCCTCCTCAACCTCCTGAGTAGATGAGATTACAGGCATACATGATCATGTCCAGTATAGAAAAGCAGTTTGTTTTTTTAACAATTTTATATTATGCCACCCTTGGGGAGAGGAATTATCATCAACAGAAATGAGAAGGAAGAAACTTTCCTAAATACGTATATTTTTTAACTTTTTAATTTTTTATTAGCAAAATCTTTTTAGAACTAATACTTAGAAATACAATTTTGTAAAATAAAAATCAATTACCCACAATTCAAACTTTTTAAAAATAACTGGTACTGGGGATTGAACCCAAGGCCTTGAATATTCTAACTACAACACACCAATGAGCCACCCAGACTCATCAAGCATTTAATCACTGGAGTTCCAAGATTAATTTCATACTGGATAAGCAAATCCACTGTAAAACTTGTCTTGAGAAACATTCACTACTCTGTAATTTGACTCTAGCTTTGGTTAAAATGTTTAAAAAAAAAAAAAAAAAACCACCAGGCATAGAGGCACAACTCATAATCCCAGCACTGAGGAGGCTGAAGCAAAAGGATTGCTACAAATTCAAGGCCAGCCTGGACTACAAAGTGAGTTCAAGGCCAGCCTGAACTCCATAGTGAAACCCTGTCTCAAAAAAAAAAGAAGTTAAAAAAGACCTACTTGGATCGGGAATGTAGCTAAGTAGCACAGTACCTGCCTGGCAAGCACAAAGCCCTGAGTTCAATTTCTGGTACCAAAAAAAAAACCAAACAAACAAACAAAAAAAATTGGTTTCATTATGTTACAAGTCAATTATAGAGAAACAGCTTATATTTCATTTTATAGTTAAAAAACTGACTTCTATAGTATTCTTAGCCAGAATTGGCAAACTACAGTTTATTGGCCAAAACCAGCCCACTACCAGTTTTTGTATGGATAGTAAGATTAGTTTTTCATCATACACACAGTGTAGGATGATATATGTGCACCCATTTATAGCAGCATAATTTGTAATAGCTAGATCTTGGAAACAATCTAAATGCCCATCAACTGATGAATAAAAAAGATGTGGCATTTTCATACAATGGAGTCAGCCATAAAGAAGGATAAACTTGAGGCTTTTATAGGTAAATGGATACAACTACAGACCATACCCATAAGTGTAACAAATCACATTTCACTCGTAAGTGAAATAAATCAAACCCACATGTGTAAATATCAACTGTCCCCTAGTGTGACATGCTGAAATAAATAATATATACATATATAAAAGATAGCTAAGATAGTTCTAAAAACTTCTCCTAAGTCACTGGAAAAAAAGGTTTGTGCTAATGTTGTTTGGACAATTAAATGCTGACATCTTGTACTCTGAGTAACTAATTTAAAGATAACAATACACAATATATTAACCATTGTTATTCTTGCTTTGAAATTTTATTTTTCTCTTTAAAATAAAAAAAGATAAAAACTAAAGAATGGTTTTACATTTTCAACACATTCACAATGAGGCCATGATTTGTACGTCTTGCCGCCAGGTGGCTTAAACCTGCAGTGGTACACACAACTGTTCTGTGTGTGACTGTACCATTTCTACTACCAATGGTGCAAGCCGTCCCATGCGATAGTCATACAGGTACCACTGGTAGTTTAAGATGGTGGGAATGTGTTGAACAGTTGGGGGGGGGGGGGGGAGTAAAATTTTCTTTTATTTATTTTTGTGTCGGGAATCAAACTCATGACCTTGCACTTACCAGGCTGGCACTGGCTCAGCAGCTCCAACTAGGTCTTTTTTAACTTTTATTTATTTTTTTTTTTTTAGCTCAAGCTGCTGAGCTAAACTCCCAGCCCTAAAAGAATATTTTATAACATGTAAAAATTACAGCTAATTCAAATTTTAGGGCTCATAAAGTTCTACTGGATCATACTCATGCTCATTTGTTCTCTGGCTGCTTTCATGCTACAAGAGTCAAAGAGAGACTGTATGCCTGCAAAGCTTAAAATATTTAGTGTCTAGCCCTTTTTTAAGAAGTTTGTAGATACTACTTACTCTTTCTAGTCTTATACTTGGCTGCACTCCACTTAGTTACTACCCAAGATTCTTGAATTATCCATGGAACTACACACTTGAAACTCATCCATCCAGTCCAACTAGAATATATCCCCCTCTTTTGACAACTTCTTCACTTTGTTTACATTTTGAAGGCCTCATTCCACATTTTCAACCCATTTAGCATGAACTCTGCACCCTGGCCAACTATTTCAAACTATTCTATCAGTTACTTTACCAGTGTGATTCAGTTTATGATCAGCTTTTCTATCCTCCAGCAAAGAAATACTGTAAGAAAATGTCACAGGTGTGGTATACCTTGCTAGCTGGTTCACTGCAAACTTATACCACCAAACTTCAGCCACACCTCTGCTGGTGCTTGAGTGTCTGCTAATTGAGTGTCTGCATGGTCTATCTGATTTCTTTCTATAGAGGCTCCTGTAAAACTTTCCCTGTTTCTTCAAACTACAAACCCTATTCCTGTCTCCTCACCTTCTGCAAATGAAGCATTTCATTTTACAATGTTCAGAACCATCTGAAATAAAGTCCTCAAACTATATTAAAAAATATTTCCTATCTCCCTTTCAACTGAGGAGGTATCCTGAAAGCCAAATGGAGAAACTATCAAAAGGCAGTGCCAGTAATTACATAAAGGAGACGGGAGACGGTCACAGAAAAATAATTGAATAGGTAAGTATCTCAATATGCACAAGTCCAGTAAATAACAACCTAATCTTTGTGAAACTACCTAGTTAGTAAAATAATCTAATAGTGAAGCATGGCACATGCCTGTAATCCTACTTGAAAAGCTGCAGCAAGAGGAAAATAAGTTCAATGTCAGCCTGGGCATGACTGTCAAATCACGACACAGTAACTTGATTGGATTAAGAATGTCTAGCTGACCAATGGAGCACATTTCTGGGTGTGGGACAGGCAGGCATGATTTTGTATGGCCTCTGGCACTGTTCCCCTGCTCTGCTTCATGGCTGCCAATTAACTAAAATGTCTTCACTCTACCACACCCTTCTGCCATGATGTTTCTGCACTGGTGTTGATTCAAATTAACACTCTCTCCTGCTGGGTATTGTGTCCCACTGATGATAGCAGATTAACACACTTGGTAATTTAGCAGGATCCTGTCTCGAAAACAAACAAGTGGGGAGGAGGATACAGCTCAGTGATAGAATACTTGCTTCACATGCATGAAGCCGGGGGTTTAATCATTAGCCTATACTTTAAAATTAAATATATCCTAACAATCTGAAGCCTATTTTATTTTAAATTTTTTTTGGGGGGGGAGGGGTCTTGAGATAGCGTTTCTCTATGCAGTTCAGGCTGGCCTTGAACTCACTTTGTAGTCCAGGCCAGCCTTGAACTCAGTGTTCTTTTGCCTCAGTCCCCAAGTGGTGGGATTACAGACATGTGCCACCATGTTCCACTGAAATTAAATATATCTTAATAATCCAAAGACTACACTTTGAAATTAAATATATTTTAGAAAGATGCTGCTTTTGAACTTTAATTGCAATTATTTTAAAAAACAGTGTAACTATTAACAAATGTGACATGTAATAACTTAGTTATTTAAAACAATGTTCACAGGTTTTCTCTCATTATAAAAAGATTTCAATTATGGGGTATAAAACATGCAACCCCAAATCACACCTCTCTGGCATCAGAATGTTTTTGAGCTGATTATTTCAGGAAAGAGCAAAAATGAGAGAATGGAGACAACTTTTTAAGACAACTTTAATCTACAACAGAAATCTCCAGTTTTAAAGTTGTCTCCTCTACCCCAGAAAGTGAGAAGCAAGATTAAAGCACTGGAAACTTATTGAGCTGCCTAACAAATCTTACTTTTTTTTGTCTAGGTTGCTATCTAGTAACCTTGTCATTTTTGGGTCTCCTCCACACTTTTCTTTGTTTCAGAGGGTATTATTACTATTTAAGTCAGCCCCCTGAAATTTAATTTTTCCTTATATCCCATTATATGTGAGATATACATGTTATTAAACCTCTGTTAGTTCTGTTAATGTCTTTTGTTACAGGGTCTATCCCAACAAAATACTACAAAGGGAAAACAGAAAATTATTTTTGTTTACATTATGTTCTTTGGAAAAACTGAGAAAGCAAGCTTTGAAAAATAGCAAAATTCAGCCATAATACCACTAGGTGGTATAATACTTTTATTTCTTTACATAAATATTTGAAAATAAGATGTATACCTACTTCTACACCCAATGATGGCTCTTATACGCTAGTGAGAAAATGTATATTCTTTTGGACTTATAATTGAGACTTTGTCAGCAAAGATACTGAGTTATGAACCAGGCGTGATGGTACATGCCTATAATGCTGGAACTCAGGAGGGTGAGGCAGGTGGACTGCTGCCAGTTCTAGGCCAGCCTTGGCTACATTGTGAGTTCAAAGCCAGCTTGAACTACACTGTCTCAAAAAAACAAAAACAAAAGATACTGAGTTATAACTTCAAAGGAGCACATGACAACCAGAGCGGTGCAGTTAGTGCCTCAACGGATTTTTTAGTGTCCCTAACAGACTTTTAAAAATTTTTACCTGATTATTTTCTTCATCCTCAAACACAAAATCTTGCTGTATGACTTCATTGTCTAAATTAGTACCAGCCACAGGTTCTGAACACTCCTTATTGCTACTACTGGCATTAAAAATACCATCAGCAATATCAACCCTAGAATGAAGATTTAAAAAGTCAGATCAGTCCTAATGATGAAAATGCCTTTAAAATAAGTATCAATAATGATCTGAAAACTTGTAAAGAAAATATATTCTTTTCATGAAAATGCACAAGTTTTTGTCTTGCTAAATTATATTATTATTATTATTATCTTTTTCTTCTTTACTGGTACCAGGGATCGAACTCACGACCACACACTTGCAAGGCAGGTGCTTATGCTGCTGAGCTAAATCCCCAGTTCCACTAAATTATATTATTAAATCTGTTAAATTTATTATTGTCTTGCCCTGGGATATTAAAGACCTTGAGAAATTTTTCATAGGCAAATAGCTTCAAAAAAGATACATGTACAGGTACAAATTTCCTGTGAGGAATGTAATCATCATATATATCTAAAATGTAGTGAAAAGTTTTCAGAAACTATACACACACAAAAATATATATGTGCCAAAACAATTTCCCTTACAAATGCACACTCCACATGATAATGACCCATTTGTCCTGGTTAAATACAAGTGGACACTATAGCATTCAATACTTTACCAAGTACAACACAAATAGGTTCTTCCATCAAAAATAGTTTAGAATATGCAAAATAGTGCAGTTTTTGTTTACAAAGATAATATTACTTAACTACCAATGATGGAATATCAGTCTTTTCCCCAGTGGTGAAAGTAAAAGCATTGTCTGAGAATGGAGGACAAGTTTCAAGATCCTAAACTAAGATGGACAAACTCCAAAGAATTTGTTCATTTTAGATCTTCTGAAACAATCCTCATTATTTCCAACTTTTGTTTTGCTTTGTTCTTCAGTTTTTTGAAACAGGGTCTCACTATGTAGTGTGGGCTGACCTCACTCAAGGCAATCCTCCTGCCCCAGCTTCCAGAGTGCTGGGATTATAGGTATGTGCCTCCATGCCTGGCCTTATCCCAACTTTTAAATGCTATTTTTTTCTTCCTATTCAGCCCAGATACCCTCTACTGTATAAATTTTAATCATGTCTTCAAAGCACAAAAGCCAGGGCCATCATCTCATAGAATTGCAGGGCTTATGGTAGTGAAATCCTGCAGATGTGCACCATGGTATTCGTAACACAAACATTTTAATCATTGGTTTTTATATGCATTAATTTTATTTTGTATTTAACAGTTATGTATAGTTAGCCCTCTTAAAATGTTATTTTTAAAATGTCACTCCAGTGAGATATGGTGGCACATGCACACAGGAGGCAACAGGATCATCTCAAATTTCAGGTCAGCCTGGGTTACAGAGTGAGTTTAAGCTCATCCTGAATTACAGAAACTGTCTCCAAAATAAGTCACTCCATCAGTCTTTTGTTTTAAACTTTCTTAGGAATCCTCCAAACACATACATTTTCACATCTGTCTCAAAATACAAACTGACACGGAAAATATGGAATAATTTCGTTGTAGCTTCTAAAGCAAGGACATCTCTATATGGTAAACTGAAGGGCAGAAGTAACAGGGAAGGAGGAAAGGCTTTCTCCCATCAAAAGGTAACAGGTCACATGAAGAGTAGAATAACATCAGAGATACTTTTTAACTTATACAAATTCAACTAGTAAAAGCCAATCTAACAAAATCATGTGTAAAAGATGGGCAAGGTGACATATGCTTATAGTTCTAGCACTCTGGGAGATTAAGGCATAAGAATCACAAGTTGGAACTCAAATCTGGGTAATTTAGTAACTTAGTGAGACTGTCTCAAAAAAAGGGGATCCAAGCTGGAGATCTAACTTAGGGCCAGGGATCTCTAGCTCAGTGGCAAGTGCCTATTCTGGCAAGCATAAGGCTGTGAGTTCAATCCCCAGTACCAAAACAAAAAACAAACAAACAAACAAAAAAAAACCAGGGCTGAACTGAAGGAGCAGCTCAATGTAAAAGCCTAGTTTTTTTTTCTTTTGGTACAGGGAGTTGAGTTGAACCCAGGGCCTCGCACTTGCCAGGCAGGCATTGTGCTGCTGAGCTATATATCCTTTTCCCAAAAGCCTAGGTTTCTGGAAACAGAAAATAACAACTTAAACAACAAAGGAGGATTCTGCCTAGCATTTCACTCAGCCACAAGCACCGGTCATGTTAATTTGCTGTGGGGATCCCTGCATCCTTCTTATTGTGACCACTTGTTGCACAGAGTAGGAGTGGTATTTTTCAAACACAGGCCTTTAAAGGTAAGCTTATCATTTCATCCAGTATTTAGGGAGGAAAACCTGGCAGTGCTGGCCTTAATACAAATACTTTATTGATGAGTTATGAGACTTTCAATGTTAACTTTGTACAATTTACATACAAGTACATATAAATACTACTTTTACAATGACTTTCAGAAATCCCCAAGCAGGATGAGACTATTATTTAAGAAAAAACAAGGTTTTTAAGATAATAATTGTATAACTCAGTAAAAATTATAAAATATTTCTTACTGATTATTAGGTCTTTCTTCATCACAATTAATACTTCTTGCTTCATTATTACACACCAGGCTTTGCTGCTGCAAATTCTTAACATCATGATCTATATTGCTCTGCAGATCAAAAAGGTGCTGTTCCACGGCCACTCTAATAGTTCTTTCTAAAACACTACGAAACAACACATTGACAAGAGCAGTTACCTTACTGGGTATTTGGCCACACATAAAACCTATGATGGGGGAAGTGATGAGCAAAATAGTCTACATGCCTTATTCCCCCGCAAACCCTCCCCCCCATAGGGGAGGGCAGGGGGTGATGGGAGGTGATCAAAGTGTTACGTGCATGCACAGATCTGCCAAAATGAAACCTATTAATCTGTGTAACCAATAACAAAGTGAAAAAAAGCTCTATGACAAGTAAAACAAATTATCATAGCCTATTAGTAAAGTATAAAATAAAATACATGATACTGGCTTACATTTTCAAGTAATGTTTGCCTAAACAGATGATGCTAATCAACTCAACCTAATGGTACTATTATTACTTGAATGAGAAGAATCAGTTGCTCCAATAATTCATTTCTCACAATACAAATGGACTTTTTAAAGCAAAGTTTGTATGGCAGAATAATTTACTAATACTCAGCTAAATAAAAGAAACTAAAAATATTACTCATATATTGTACATGTACTTTACTTAAATTTAAATCTCTATCAACATTTTTTCAATTATTTCAGAGGCTCAAAAATATCACCTGAAAAAAATCTCAGCTTTATGTTATACAATTTGTGCAAAGATTTCTTCATTTGCCCTACTGCAGTACATAAAACAATTTACTGTGTATGTACAATCTGTATTTCTAAGACTTAATATCATTTTAATTTTTTTTTTTTAATTTGTCTTCAGTGGGTATGGTGACCTATCTGTAAACCTTAGCTACCCAGGAGGCAGAGGCAAGAGGATCCCTTGACCCCAGCAGGAGTTTGAGACCAGCCTGGGCAACACTAAAAATTCCAACTCAAAAACAAAGATGTTGTCTTCTATAAGTATATTACTTACTCTGCAGAGGCCGGTAAGATGCTGGTGGGAGATATATGGGCACTGAAAACAAAGAAAGAAATTAGCTATAAAAAATGTGCTGAAAACTATCCCATTTGTGTTACCTTGGTACAACTAGACGAGTATGCATCAATTGTCATGTCTCTACTTACATGTCATTGGAAATATTTTGTGAATCTTGTTACTAAAAGTTTCAAATATTAACAAAGAAAGTAAATTTGAGATAACATATCACTAACAAGGCCAAAAAAAAATTTTTAAGGCTCAAAATTTTAAAGTGAGTATCATATACTACACGCTAAAGTTTGACATGCATTTATCTTATTTAATACTTCTCAATAAGGAGTTATAATTACTCCCCACTTTCTACAAAACTAAAGCTCAAGGATGTTAATTAATTTGTCCAAATGCACTCAGCTTTGGGTTGCGAATCCTGTTATTAGTAAAAATGTTCTAGTGCCTTCTGAAACTAAAAAAGTGATCAATAACAAAAATACATAATAACATAGCATGAATATTTTAACAATATGATTGTAATTTCCTAAGAAAAATGATTTTCACACAAAAAAAACTTTTAAATATATAAACAGGGGTAAGGGTGAGATATACAACTACAGTACTTCAGCCTGTGCTTACTTGGGGAAACACTACCCTGTTTCAAGGCTGGAGGAAAATTACAATATTGAATTTAATAGTTTTAGCTATTTATGAATTTTTTTTTAAATCATCTGTCAGGTTAAGAGGTAAGATATGTTTAAATTGACACTAGAGGCTGAAGGTGAGGCAGCCAAGTAAAACTGACAAGACCACTTGTGACTGACCATGGCAGACAAGCTGAGGCCCATCGGCCTGTTCAAGAACTTATTGGCCAGTGGCAGCATGTGCCTCGTGTTTGTGAGGCACATTCGGTACACTGTCAAGGTGCAGGGAGACTGGCATGGGGAACTAAGGCGGAGGCATGAGTGGCCCACAGCCCCAGGACAGAAATGGGACCAGAAGATACAAGCTTCCATGGAAAGCCTAGAGACGTGGTCAGGGCTATGGGGCACCAGTAATTCCAGGTCTCAGGAGGCTGAGGCAGGAGAATCACTGCAAGTTCAAGGCCAGCCTAGGCTACACGAGCAAGTTCAAGGTCAAGGCCAACCTGTACTATACTGTAAAACTCTGTCTCAAAACAATGACAAAAAAAGAAAAGAAAAGAAAAAAACCCACCAAAGTGGAGAGAATCTGTATCTCACACTCTAAAGAGCTAAGAAAGCCTCCAACCACCCATCAAGAAGAGTACCTATATACAGGTAGCCCCACCAATTCTTTTGATCCTGCACTGCATTAGCAATGGGGAAAAAAAAGCAGCTGCCTAGAGCTGATTCCAGCCAATACTAATACTTCATCATCAAGCAAGAAATATATCCCTTGTGATACCAGGTGGACAACTAAAGACAGATGTAGGAATGTTCTAGAAATGACCTTGACATACTCCCCAGGGCCAGAGTGTGCCATCACCACCTCTTGCATACTAAACTAGTTGGGCCTTTAGCCTATCACGCTGTGGCAGCCTGCACAGCCTGCTACAGAGAGGCACTGCCTGGGAAGCTAATGATGTCCTCAGTGACTCCATCTCTTCCAAGAAAAGCAGATAACTAGCTCTCTACAGGGTGTGATCCCCACAGCGTCCAGGTGAGGAGGCCACTGGTCATACTGAAGCTATGGGAGAGCAGAAGCAGATCACTCCTCAGTGCCCTGAAACATTAAGCAAGGTCTTACTGGAGACCAAAGTCTATGTCCTGCAACTCTGTATTTGAAACTTCATCCTATTTCTGTACACAGGAAAGAAAGTGATGGCCGTATGGACATAAATCTCACAGAGGGAACATGGGGAGCTGTTTAGAATGTGGGGTTCAGTTTCTTTCATACAAAGGAAAACAGTTTCTTGAACTCTTTCTGGGCAGACCTGGGGTTAACCTTTTGCTCCCAAAGGGATCATAATATGCAAAGACCAGGATTAGAGCAGCTGAGCTTGTTAGGGCGCTATGTAACAAGAAATCAGATGTTTTTTCAGCAGATGGCAACAGGCTGAGTGTTAGTGCTGTTAAAGCAATAGTCGTTCCAAGAAAAATGTTTAGTAAGGGGCAAACAAATGGCACATTTGACATAAGAACCAATGGCTGCTCACAAGGAGGAGTGGCCCTGGTACCACTCCTCAACTTTACCTATATACAACACTTGTAACTGTCCCACCATTTTCTAAAAGGCTGATTCAAATTAGTATTATGAAGAGCCACTGAAACACGTGCAAATACAATCTCTAACCAATACACATAACAATCTATCAAGTTAACATTTTCGATGTTCACTGTAGGAAACCAAATGAGTATCAGAGACTTTTGGGAAGATGGTGGAGCAGTACACAGCCGAGAAAACAACCTCTTAGTGTTGCCATTGTGAGGAAGACAAGAAGGAAGGGAATGAGTACCCTGGACCCAGGAAGAATCTAAAGTGTGAACCAAAGCCCACGAAGAGTAAAAACAAAAACTTTAACAAAGAAGGCTAAAGGTAGCTTGGCAGTACCTCTGCCTGGAGCCAGACTGCATGAGAGGAGCTGCTGGAACCAGGGGACACACAGTCACAGTGACAGTGGTGGCTGGCGGCTCCAAGGGCCTCTGTAGAGAGATGAGGCACTGAGGGGAGCAGCGGATCTGGAGGCCTGCACTACCTGGCAGTGAATGCAGAGGACTTAATCCTCCCAAAAGAGAGAACGATTGTCTAGGAACCATTTTGGAGCCGACTAGATAAGCCCAGACTAGAACTGTTGCCAGCTTCATCCAGCAGCTCCTGGTTGGGTACAGACCCATGGAATCTGCTTGGACTTTGGCGAGCCCAATGAGTCTGATCTTGGGGCAGGCCTGCTAAGGTCATCTGCTACTGTGCCATAAAACTGCTGGCTTGTTGGAATACAGTGGTATGATCCAGGACTCTGTCTGCACAGGCTGTCTACCAGTGAATCCAGAGAGAATCCTGGAAGTGGGCTCTGTTTTGTTTTGTTTTTTTCTTTGTTTATTCTTATTTTGTTTTTTTTAAATTCAGTTTTATTCAGTTTTTTCTTTCATTTTTTTTTTAATGAGTGTGAGAGTGCTTCCTAATCTCTTTGTGGGTATGGTTCTGTTTTGTTCTAACCTTTTATCTCTTCCATCTTTCTTTTCTTTCAATCTTCTGCAAGAGTTTCCCAAGTTGGTGGAACCCATCTTTGTCCTCCAACCTTACTTGTAATCTCTTTCGCTTTTTCTACTTCTCTATCATCTCCTTAATCCATTTTAAATTTTAACCCTGAGGCCAAAATTCACACATTATGAACTTAGTTATTGCATTTAATTATCTGGTTGTTTCTACATTTTGTTATATAATCACAAATCTAATTCCTAAGGTTAAAAGTTGCAAATTAAGGATTAGCTCAGTTTATTGTTTTCTAAACTGTGTTTGATACTATTGGTACCACTGTAGCCAAATTTGATTTAACTGTTCTAAACAGCTGTTGGCCCTGATAACCCATGACTAAGATTAACTAAAGGTCACAGAAAATACTGTGGCATAGTGCCAAAGAACCAGGGATTTGGTCAAAAAAACAATAACTTCTCATCTCCAACAAACTGAAGAGGTTAGACCTTCTAACAGCTACACCTAGAAGATACTTGAGAAGTAATCATCACCTAAGTGTTGTAAATATCACCAATTAAGCAACCTACCACAGACAACTTACAAGCAGGAATTAAACTAAAAAAAAAAAAAAAAAAAAAAAAAAAAAAGAAATGCGAAGACACTTAAGATGCAACTCCAGACATCCAGTTTGCCAAAGGCAAACAGGGGGCAATGAGGTTGGGCAATCCAAAAGCCCCTCACCAGATCCCTCTGAAATGGTAACAACAAAGTACCTAAATAAAGCTTTGGAAAAAAATGAAATCAGAAATAATCCTCCAATAAGTGCAGAGATTACCAAAATACACACCATGTGTATTTTTTAGAGCAGACACAGACAAAAAAAATAGACAAACTTAAGCAAATTATGGAAGCTCAGATTGGAAACAAATGAATTCCATAAAGCAGATTCAAGTAGACAGCCAGGAAAATAAAAACTAATGAAAGTATTGGAAGCAGGGCCAAGGATTTAGCTCAGTGGCCTAAGAGCCTGTCTGGCAAGTGTGAGGTCATGTTCAATTCCCTGTACCACAAACAAACAAACAAACAAACAAACAAAAAGAACTGGAAACAGATTAGGCCAATGTGAGGATAGGATCTCAGATATTGAAGAGACACTTGCAGTTAGTGACCAGGAAACGGAAACATTTCTCAAAAATAACAAGGGACCAAAAAAAAAAAAAAAAAAAAAGCAAGGGACCATGAGAAATTAAACCAGCAGCTCTGGATGATACAAATAAGAATAATTTAAGATTAACTGGAGTCATAAAACAAGCAGGAGATACCTTTTAATGACATTAAAAACATTCACAGACATCATGACTGAAAACTTTCCTGGTAGAAAAAAAGAATCTGACACACAAATAAATGAGGTTTATAGAACTGCCAATTAGCAATGATCAAAAAAAAAAAAAAAATCTACAGCCAGGCATATGATAGTCAAGATTTGAGAAATTCAGCACAAGAATAGAATCTTAGCTGGGCGTAGTGGTACATGCCTGTAATCCCAAGAGGATTGGAAGTCTGAGGCAGGAGGATTATTGCAAGTCTGAGACCAGTTTGGGCTACAAAGTAAGCTCAAGGCTAGCCCAAACTAGTCAGACCCTGTCTCAAAAAGACCGGGGGGGAAAAAAAAAATTAGAGTCTTAAAAGCTGTTAGGGAAACCAAAACAAATTACCTACAAAGGAAAGCCCATCAGAATCATAGCTGAATTCTCAGCACAAACTCTCAAGTCAAGGAGAGCTTAGGTGAAGCACTCCCAAGTTCTAAAGGAAAACAACTTTCAACCTAGATTGACATATACTGCAAAACTGCCTTGAGATAAAATCGATGGAGAGATAAGATACCTCCA